GTGACGATATCGTTGTGTATTTTCCAATGCTGCTACCAAAGATTTAATGAAATGATTTGTATCTTGGCGAGGCAACTCGGAAATTTGAGACTGTCGTTGCAGCCATGGCAATCATATCTTTTGAGCCTCACAATAATTTTTAGTTTTTGTTATAGAAATTATATAGCAATTTATAATTTGTGGTATTTGTTTAAATTGAATGAAAAATTATGGTTTTTTTGGTGACCACATCCGAGACTCAAGAACACTGAATTTGTGGGGATGAAGTGGAACCATTGAATTTAATCCGAACTCAAGAACACCTTGATGCCATTCTGTGGAAGAGGAAAACTGGACCTTCATGCAATTCTGTGGAAGAGAAAAACTTTATCAGCATTTTGTACAGCTATATTACTAAAGTTGATGGGCCTTGACCCCATTCTGTTCGGCCTCTTGTGATTGTATTAAAGTGTAGGGCCATATTTTATGGATTTGTGCCATGTTTACCAAAACTGTTTCTGCCATTGGATTGAAAAAAATGGAGGGAAAATTGGAATGAAATTGTTGCATTGATTTCTCATGGGCTTTTATATATATAGTAGATTACTCCGTATATATTGCCAGTGGAAACAGTGGATCGAGAGGAGGACCCAGTGGGCAGAGGGGGAAACGGCCAAGGCATATTTCTCCGGCAGTTTTTCAGTTCCTATTAGGGCTTTGGCAGCTCCGGCCTTCTCTTTCTCCGATTGGTTACCGCCGTTGGAATCTTACTGCACGATGACGACGAGCCGATCGGCAGTGCATCCGGTGGAGCCTCCGCCGGTGAGCAACTTTCCGACGAGGGTAAGGATGAATAATTTTCAGGGCATGCCCGGAACTGCCGGCAGCCTCTTTCTCCGTCTCTCCCAGCTAGCTTTCGCTGTCATTTCTCTCTGTGTTATGGCCACCACCTCCGATTTCCTGTCCGCCACAGCCTTCTGGTACGCATCTTTCTATCCATCTTCTCCTTTCCCCTCTTCCCGTCCCAAAACCCTCCGGTTTTAATGTAACTTTGAGGGAAAAAAACTGCCAATTGAAGACTTTGAAGTTATGATCTCTCAAGATCTTAGAAAGGCAGACGGTTCTCGATTAGAGATTATGGTGTGTTTGGCATGGAGCTTTTTGGGGCCTAAAGGACTTCAATTCGAGTCTTTGATGAAGAGATTTTTTGGCAGATATTTATGACCTACAAAAAACTGAAGTATTATTGCAGCTTCTTTTGAATCTTGGTTTGCAAAAAGCTTTGTATTTCAAGCTTTTTTCTTTGGAAAAATTACCCAAACAACTTGCACAAAACTCTAAAAATGTGTTGCCAAATATGGCCTTCCACACCCCCCCCTAACTAATAGGGTGGATCCGCCCATGTATGCTATATTTAGTTGCCATGTTTGATATTTCTATCAATGAGCACATGAGAGTGTTTGGAAATCAAAATAGAGTTATTATATCCAATGTTTTAGCTTCACATAATTAATACTCCGCCAAATAGAAATGTCCCGCTAAGTTTCATTTGCTACTTACTTTCTATGAAGTTTAAGTATTAAATGCGGCATTGCATCAAGGGTCTAATGGAAATAGCCTCTTTGCTAGGATTACATTTGGGTTTTGTTTAGTCAAAGTATAGTTTAAATTTTTAAATATAGTTATACACCATTTTTCACAAAAAAGACTTGCATATTTTTCTTTTCGGTTTCTCCCACAAAAAGATGTGTTTGTGACTATGTATGGACAGTTTTATGTGGCTCATAATTTTCCTCTCCCCTTTACATCATTTTCAACGTTGCAGTTTTCACTTGTGCTATGTCACACCGTGCACATCTTTTTTGGGGTGAAATAGGACTAAATAATTGTGAATATTAATTTTCCAAAAGAATACTGAGTTAATAAATAGAGAAGAGGTGTGCTAGGACGCAAATTGGGAAGAGAGTTTCTTGATACATTGTTAACTAAGTTGCTCAAAGAAGGGGATGGGTACTCATACGGGGATAGACTCGGGAATGGGGAATCACTAACATTTCCAAGTTTTAACATGTATTTGGGTGTGGGAACGTCTCCAAGTACCCAAATGGTAGTGTTTCAGGGTCGGGAAACAAAATAATGCAGCGAAAAAAGCACAATATGTTTGCAAATGAGAGGGTAGACTAATCTACAAAACAATATCTAGTATTTGTGACAAAAAGTTCTATTGTCATGAACTTAGAGAGTCATTATGAAATATGAATATGAAATACCATTTCGTGGAACATCTTGTAAAGAGTGTGCTAGCCAACCAACTTAAGTGCAATATATACTCCATAAATTGCAAAATTAGAGCACTAAGAGAAGAACATTATGTGACACTAAACTATGAAAATCATTAGTCTCTGAATATGCCTTTCCTTTTGTGCAGTGCCTGGTATAACTAGTAAACAAGTACGGTTCAAGGGTCTCAAAAAAATCAATACATGCATGTGTTAAGTATAAACTGAATCTAAATGCCACATTGCCCACATCAAACTTCATTTGCTTCCAATTTGTTACAAAGTTTTGGTTAGTAAATGCAAGTATGCAACAATGCATTAATGGTCCAGCATACTTTCTAACCCCAAACTCCAAGAGAGGTGGGATTATACTGGGTTTTTGTTGTAGCCAATATGTGTTAGACTTTAATGTCTTTCTTGTATTACTGTTGTATTGAAAATGTTTAACAAAGGATTGATATTAACCATTACCTTTGTGCTCTCTGATGCATTAGCTTCCTTGTGGCTGCTGTTAGTTTACAAAGCTTGTGGAGCCTGTCGCTTCTTATTGCTGATGTATATGCTCTTTTGGTGAAACGAAGTTTTAGAAACAATCGATTTCTTAGACTATTCACCATTGGTGATGGGGTAATAAGTTATCTTTGTCCTACTTAGTTTTCCCCTAGTTCACCCACATCCCCGATGTTGTCCTAGAGTGTTCCAAACGCACCCTAAGTGATTTTTTCTTCTTCTTTATTATGGTGCAGGTGACATCCACTTTAACATTTGCTGCTGCTTGTGCATCAGCTGGCATCACAGTCCTAATCGGTAATGATATTGATAAATGTGCTGTCAATCACTGCAAGAGGTTTATGTCGGCGACAGCCATGACATTTTTTTGCTGGTTTTCATCCTTCCCGTCATACTTCTTCAATTTGTGGTCTTTTTTTCACCAACGGTGTCGATGATCATCCACTCTTTCTAGTTACGTGTCAATGTTCATATATTGTCTTGCATTGTGTTGATGAAGTTTTGGATGCTTCTTACCCCCCACCCCATGAAAATTACACATGGTTCCCTTTTGAGAGAAAGGGATGGCTGTTGAAAGAAATCACAAAGGGATTGTTTGTTTACACTTTATACCCAAGGTTTAATCTTATGTGGAAGAACATGTTCTCTTCCGTTGGTCTGATTAGATTTGATAGATTTTATTAAGATTCGAGTGTAAGTAGTTGTATTTAATGTTGTTTTTAATCTGATTTGATCTCACTTCAGGCATGTTTGGGAATAGCATTAGAGATTAGTATTAATGTTTTAGATAAAATTTCAACGGTGTAGATTATTTTGAAAATGCTAACGCCAAACGATACCGATAGATAACATTTTCAAAATGTTAAAGCTAATTTCTAACGTTATTCCCAAACAAGCCTTCAATTAGAACAAATAATGATAAGTTGAAGAGAACATACTGGCACACTAACCTTACATTTTACACTTCAAAATACGGAGTAAAAAACAAGGGTGTTATAACAAGGGCTTGCTTCAAGCCAAAATATTTAATTTAACTCAATTTTTTGTGTTTTAATAACTGTAAATTTTACAAATGATCTATAATCGAAGATATTAATCATATTATGCATTTAGAAAATACTTAAAAATTCAAACTTTATTTTTAAAAGAGAATAATTAAAAGTGAATTTAAATAATATTTCCATCTCTCAATTTAAGTTGCAGTATTAACATAATTAAATTTTATTTACTTTTTCATCTATTATCGTTGCATGTTTATTAAAAAAATAATACTCCTTCTGTCCCAAATTATAATGCTTGTTCACTATTCATAAGGTCAAACTTCATTTACTTTCTTTCTCTATTTTCGTTAACAATTTGATAAAATAAAATACTATTGTCACTACTAGTTTTGTAGATCTTTTGATGTAGTAGTTTTTTAATATGTAATTTTTATTTTTTAATTCTATACCATTTGTCATGTAAAATGGTTTGAAAATAATTTCAGTCAAACATCGTAAACCGAAACAGGCGTTATAAAATGGGACAGAGGGAGTATAATCATCTCTCTCTTATTTCGTAAAATTTTTGATCTAGTTTTTAAATATATATATATATATGAAATAATTTTTATTTTTTTTAATTTCACCATAATATTCAAATGTATTGAATATAACTTCAATCAAATATTACAAAACAAAACAAATTATTTATTTGAGACAAAGAAATTAAATATGAAACTTAAATTTAGATGGAAGAATTTCAAGTTTTTCAACTATGTATAAGACTATAAGCTCTTTAATTTGTTGTGTTTCCATAGTTCCCCGCGGATCTCAAAACCCTTGGTCGTTCTTCTCCGGGGACGGAGGAGGGTTCCGGCGTTTCTTGCGAGCGGCAGCTCAAGGATGCATGAAAAAGACGAGAGCCGATTCTCCATTGACAAAATGGCGGGCAGATTCGTGAGATGTCCGAGCGGGAAAACGGAAACGACGGTCGCAAAGTGAAAGAAACCAATCCAGTCGTCGCTCCATCTTCATCAAATGAAAGTTAATTGGGCTTCAATTTTCAGAAACTCCAGAACTTTCTTCATCAGAGGTAATTTCTCAACTCAATTTCTTAGTAGCGGAATTGGCTGGCGCCTCAATCCAAGTGTTATAGCGGCTTTTACCACGAAAATAAAGGATAGTGAAGATAATGTTAGGAAGACGATTCAGGAGTTCTATTTCCAAAGTCGCGGCTCCAGGTTTAAGCACGTCCGCAAGCTTGATGATGCACTTGCTTTGTACGGTGAAATGGTTCGAATTCAACCGCTGCCTTCTGAGGTCGAATTCACGCAGCTGTTGAATGCAGTGGTGAAGATGAAATGCTACTCTGATGCCGTTACATTGTTCAATGATATGTGTCTTCAGGGTATTCGTATTGATGGATTAGTTCTCCACACTGTCATGAATGCTCTTTGTTCTTTGCCCAGAGTTGATTTGGGTTTTGCTGTTTTAGTGAGGTTTATCAAGTCTGGTCATGTGCTTGATGCTCCCATATTCAGCACATTGCTGAAGGGTCTATACCGCGAAGACAAGTTTCAGGAGGCGCACGATCTGTTCCTGAAGATATTTGTTGAGAAGCTGTGTGAGCCTGATGTTGTTTTGTTGACGACAGTAATTGATGGCCTCTGCAAACTCGGGTTCACTTCCAGGGCATTGAATTTGCTTCGTCTGTTCGAGAAAAAAGGGATTTGTAGCCCTGATGTTTTTGCATATAGCACGGTTATTGACAGTTTCTGTAAAGATGAGATGGTGGACAATGCAATTGAGCTATTGACAGAAATGATTGACAATGGTATTGCTCCAGGTGTGGTGACCTATAATTCACTAATCCATGGACTTTGCAATTCTGATCGATGGGAAGAGGTTGAAGTGATGTTGAAACAGATGGCAGACTATAGGGTTGCTTTCGATGTGCATACATACAACATTTTAGTTGACGGATTCTGCAAGAGGGGATGGGTAAAAGACGGCCTGAAAGTCATAGAGACAATGTTTCAAAATGGAGTGGAACCTGATGTGGTCACATATGCTGCATTGTTGGATGGGTATTGTTCGCAGGGCAAAATGAATGAAGCTGAAAAACTATTGAAAAACATGATACATTGGGGATGCAAACCTGACATTTTCACTTACGACATCTTAATGAATGGTTATTGCAAGAATGGGAATGTGGATAAGGCCATTCAAGTATTCCAAAGTCTTCCACAAAAAGGGTTGAAACCTGACACGGTTTCCTACGGTACCATACTTGATGGTCTATTTAATGTTGGGAGGTTCGATGACGCTATGAACTTTCTTAATGTCATGGAAAGTAGTGAGGGTATATGTCCGAATATTGTTATCTACAATATCATTTTGGATGGTTTCGTTAAGAACAATTGTGTTTCTCATGCGCTTGGGCTTCTGAGCACGATGGAAGAAATGAAAGGTTTGATTCCTGGTATAAGGTCCTATAACATTGTCTTGCATGGACTGCTTAAAGATGGAAACTTTGCTAGTGGATTCAACCTATTCAATTCCCTCCCTTCTAAAGGTTTGAAGCCGAATGCCATGACCTATGGTATCATGATAAGTGCACTCTGCAATGACAACCGGCTAGACGATGCAAAAAATGTGCTCAGGCAAATGGAGAAAAACGGTTGTGTGCCTAATAGTTGTACCTACAACGTACTGATTCGTGAATTAGTAAAAGGGAAAGACCATAGTGGGGCGGTTTTGCTATTGCAGGAAATGAAGAGCCATGGGTTCTTGCCGGATAATACGACTTGCGAGATGATATTTAAGTCCATCTCAACGGATGGACCCGGGTCGGATCTTCTTCATATGATTCAAAACATTGAAGAACGGTCATAATTTGTGGGATCTAAATATGACTAGATATGCTCTACGCTTCTACCCAAAATAGTCCCTTAGCTATTTTGCTACACAAAGTTCTTGCAAGTGATCCTGAACCCAATTGACTAGATATGCTCTAGGTTTTGTGTACCTACGCTGTGCGAAACAGTTGTTCTTCCTGCACAACACTAAATTGCTTCTTATAATCCACAGGCTTACAAAAATGACTAACAATTCAGTGTAAAACTATTATGATTGGTGCACTTGGGCTTGAACATGCATTTGCTTGAGTACACATAGGGAATGACGTGGCTCAAGTACTTGGACGAAAGTCACGCAACCCAATGCACACTATCCACTAACATGAAAGTGGCACAAAAAATACTTTTATGAGTGCGACACGGCACAATTTTTCTAGAGACTTCTACAACGGCGCAAGGCATAGTATGGTTTCAATACAAGATCTTCACAAATGAAAGTCACGCAACCCAAATCTATCACACGATCAAATCTCGCTGTCATCCAATTTTAGAAAATATTGACGTGGGGTTTTTGAGGACTAGACTCAATTAATGAATGTCCCAAACTTTATGGGTGGTGCACAAGAGGATACTTGGAACATTGAGCTTAAATGCCAACCACCCCATATACTCCATACCTCAATGAATTTGACCTGGAGTTTTGAAGAAGCAGGAGGGTATATCACTTTTTGTTCTATATATTGTACTCCCATTGTGTACAATTTGTTTGTGTCATATTTTGTCAAGGTGCATCTTTTGTGAAAGTCTAGTTGGACTCATTTTGTAAATCAAGTGCACTTATTGCAATTCACAGTACTATTGGAATCTCATTTTCAATGAGTTTAGAAGTATTGCACCGCACCCACTTCTATACCAAATTCTAGCATTATTTTCAATTCAGCTTATAAGTGCAGCATCATTTTTTATCGTGTTATTGACTCGATTACAATGTAATACCGGAGTATTTGTTTATAGGGCAACATCATTATTGAATCAGCATTTGGCATTTTGGTATAGCAAATAAATAGCATATCTGTTTTCCAACTAAACAAAGAAAATTTCTCCATTTTCTTCTCAAGTTTCTTCCTCCCCTTGCTTCTTTCTCACTTCTCATCAAACCAAGACCTTTGTTATAGGGTAGGGTCAGCCATAGATGAGCTCTTCATACCAGGGAAGAAATGGAGGAAGGAGAAGATATTTATGGGACGAAGAGAAATGGTTCCGTGCCTAGTACGCACAAGAAACTATCACCTTGCATTGGATAAAGGGTAATATAGTCATTTTTGTTTAAAATGGATGCCAAAATTGGAAATGTAATTTTTTTTTGGGACGTTCAAATAAAAGAGCAAATCTTACCGGTGCATGAGAGATAGAGTGTTGGAGAGCGATTAGCTTCTGGTTAAAGTGAATTTTAGGTATCATTGTAGTCGAGATTTAATTATCTAATATTGAATGATGTTTTCTATATACAAAACGTAGAAATAAACATGTCAAATCGGATGAAATAGCGGTCCTTTAAAACAAAAATCAAACTCTTAGATGTAGTCTATTAGAGTAGTATAAAATGTTGACTCTAAACATATGCTTCAAAACAAAAGTATTTTTTATTTGTGGAAAAAAAGGGGTGCGTTTCCTTTCGGTTTAAATTTGAGGTATGAGTTTGGATGAGGATATATTCCATGGCTCATTAAATTCAAAAAATACACAGTACGGATTTTGTCAAACTATATTTCTTTAAATACTAATATAAATATTCTCGTTGTTTCGTACTTATCCCTAATTTATTTTTCTTACATATCTAAGGGGCTGTTTGTTTCAGCCTCTTAATGGTTCAGATGTCTGAATGGTTCAGCACTTAATGGTTCAGACTGTTTGTTTCAGCCTCTTAATGGTTCAGATGTCTGAATGGTTAAGAGATTTGCCTCTGAATGGTTAAGTATTATACAGAGTCTGAATGGTTAAGACCTCTTATCTGAATTGATCAGACATTTGCCTCTGAATAGTTAAGCAATATACTAGCTCTTAATGGTTCAGACTTCTTACTGGTTCAGCACTTAATGGTTCAGACCTCTTACTGGTTCAGCACTTACCGATTCAAAAGTTGCCAAACAGCCCCTAAGTTTTAGTTAAGAAACGTCTGTAACTACTTCCTTTGCTCCATTGATTTTATTACTTCCTCTAATCCGTGTTTATTTTTTTTTTGACTTTTTAAAGTCCAATTAATATATTTTGGCATCAAATTAAATAAAAGTACTATTAGATATTAATAAAAAACAATTTTTTTAGATTTAATTTATAAGATGTTTTCAAAATACTGTTTTATCTAATTAATACTCCCTACTTCCATAGAAGATGTTCCTTTTTTATTTTTTGTGTATTGCATAAAATACTTTTATCCCGCATGCCAAAAAAACTTTTAAATTTTTTTTACCCACAATAAAGGAGAAATATGGTAAATTTCAGTCATTTTAGATGTGGGTAAAAATATTTTATGGAATGTGAAAAAAATGAAACAATGATATCTTTTTGAGACGGAGGCAATGTATAATATATTTTATTTAATTATAAGTTAAAGGTTAAAAATGATTGATTGTAAAACGCCAAAGGTAGAGGAAACCAAGATAATGTTTTATTTTGAGAATAAAAACGAAACCTTTAGCGTCGACTACGACAATGTTTTGACAACTTCATCGTTTTGAACAGTCTATCTAACAACATCATTTGATTTTATCGTTTTCAAAATTAACAATTAAAAAAAGGGAGCGTCTAAAATGACACCAGTTACTTATACACCAGTTGCTTACATCACTTCGTTTGGGGTACCTACGGTGCTCCGTTTGTAAAAACGACGGTTCCTAGCCCCCCTAACCCTCCCCCTAAACCCCCCACCCCAACCCCACCCTTGCCCTCCCACCCCAGCCCCCCTCCCGCCCCCCTCCCTACCCTGGCAATATACTGCCTGGCAAGTGTGGGGCTGGGGTGGGGGGTATAGGGGGAGGATTAGGGGGGGTAGGAACCATCGTTTTTAGAAACGGAGCACCGTAGGTATCCAAAACGAATTGGTGTAAGCAAATGACACCAGTAGCACTGCTGTCATTTTAGACTTATCGTTAAAAAAATATGTAAAATGCCAATACTTAGGCGTGAACACCGGCCCTTAAAAAAAATCAGAATCGGTGAAAGTTTACACGGGCACGGACCTCTATCTATATGAGTGTAGGGGACGGTAAGTGTAGTGTCTTGACAACAAATTTAATGGTTTGAAAACTCTGTCTATCTAATGACATTCTTTAATTTTAACGTTTTTAAAATCAATGTGTATTACTAAAAAAAAACATCTAAAATGCTTAACTCATTCAAAACGTTATCCTCATTCCTCAAACAAACCCTAAGTTTTATAATTCTTGTATTTAGTGGTATATAAATCCTCTGAATTTAATGTAGTAATTAACAACAAACTAAAATGACCACAAAATCAAGGACCCAAACAAGACCCTCAAATAAAGTAAAATCATATAAGAGGAATAGAAAAACTTTATTCAATTCATAAATTCAATCTTTTCCTCTTAATCATCTCCATCATCATCTTAAATAAGCTGATTAATTAACGGTGGAGTTCCCGTGACATTGGAACCCCATGTCCTGGGTGACTCGGGGGCGCTCCGATGTCCCGTTCGTAAAATTGACAGTTCCTGCTCCCTTAAACCCCGGTAAATCCCCTCACCCCCTTCAAATTCCATTGGGCAGCTCCCTTGCTTCCCGGAACAAACGGTAATTAATCGGGTAAATCCGAACCTTAAGACAGACAAAGAAAAAGACCCGTAATCTCGTGGTTTACACTAAAAAAAAATTAGATAATTAATATTTAATTAAACAATTATAATTAGTCCTCAAACCCAATTTGTTTCCAAATGGCATTTCTAACCCTACTCAAATCCCTCCCCTTGAGAGTCCTCCCAATGCCTTCGTGCACCGACATTGACGCCCCTCTCCTCCTCGCCAAGTACTCATGCGGCGGCACCACCGCCCCTTTCTCCCCGCCGCCGCTCTCCCGCCGGATATCCGCCCACTCCGGCACGGAGACTGGCAACGACGCCGGCCTGTCGTCGGCCTTCGGGTTCTTCTTCTGAACGGCGACGACAGGCCGGCGCGAGCCTGGTATCGAAGCGGACGATCTCCGGGCCCCGCCCGGTCCGCCGCGGTCGAAGTCGTCGCCGTTGTCCCACACGACGTCGGACTCGTCGAACTCGAACTGCGGGCCCGTCGCCGCCGGAGACATCGTCTCCGGCGGGACTCCGAGGAAGAAAAAGCTCTTCTTTGCGGTGGCCATATATATTTATGTAATGTGAGGTTTAGGTGGAACAAACAATATGTGATTGAATTTGGTTCTTTGGAGGGGTTTGATTTATTGCTAATTGGGTGTGCTTTATATAGGACTAATTATAGTAATTGTCCAAAGTGGATAAGCTTATCTTAATCTTTTCATTAATTTAGTTTAATTTAATTTCTTACTCTTGTCCGACTAAGATTTTCCAATTTCACAATTTACCGATTAGATCTTATCCTTATTTTTATTTTTATTTTTCTTCGCTTATTTTTTGTATTTTATTTTTTCTCTCCTCCCCATAACCATGCATCATATAAACAATTTTGTTTTTTTCTAGAACGTTGTGAGATTCGAGTCGGGATATTTATTTTTTAGACAAAGGGAGTGTTTTTCGCCAACCAATTTTAAAAATAATATTCTCAAGTTGCCTTTTATTTTATAGAATTTTTTATGTGTTTTTCAAAAAATATAAACAGCGTAAATTTTATTTTTAAAATTTAGCTTAGTATTTAAATTAATTAAATTGTAAATAGCTTCAAGTGTACAGCTTTATCCAAAACTTTTATTTGGTACTACTTTTTTCCAAAAACTTTATCCGTATTTTTAGACTATCTGAAAAACGCTCATCATATAGCACGTTATTTTGTTTTTGAGCAATAAAATATGAATTTCCTAAACAAACTTCCAACTATAATTTTTTTTAAATTTAAAATCTTTTTTATATAAGTTTCATAAAAATTGAATTAGTAGAGTTCATTTTTTGATATGGATGGAGTAATATAATTAAATAGTGTTCCAATCCAATTCTCATCTTTAACTTATGGTGTTGTGATTAGACAGGTTGAAAGTATATGCGTTTTTTGGTATTCTTGTTGTTGTTGTTATTATTATGCATTATTATTATTACTATTATTATTATTATTATTATTATTATTATTATTATTATTACTCCCTCCATTCTATATCTTTCTTCCCAGAGCACTATTACAACTTCACGGGAATTTATATTTATTTGTGTTTTTTCATGGCCTATATGATAAAATAAAATATTCTTGTCACCACTTGTTTTGTTGAACTTTTGATGTAGTTTTTAAATATGTATGTTTTATTTTTTATTTCTATACCAATATTTAAATAAAATAAATTGAAAAAACTTGAGATTTTTCTTCATTTTGTGCAACGGGAAGAAAGATATAGAACAGATGGAGTATTATTATTATTATTATTATTATTGTTAACGCCGTATTTTATAGCTATAGCGCCTTCCTAATTAGTACTCCCCTAGTCCCCTGTCCATAAAAGGGCCCACTTTCTATATTTAACTTTATCTTTAAAAAAAGGAATATCCGAGTTGATTTTAAGCAAAAGAATTTATTCTCTATAAATCCTCCCACTCAAAATAAGATTCTTATTTGGATTTATTGTTATCTGAATGAGGTTATTTTTTATTTAGAATATTATAAATTTGATGTAGTACTAGAAATAAAAATTATGAAATATATATTCAAATCGGATTAAAGATTTTCTGGAGTACGAAATAAATGTGAACTTGACTAATTTATTTTATGCTGATCGGTGAAAATATCCTAAGAAAAAAATAAACTATAATAATTTTTTATGGAAAAAGTTAAATCCATCATTTCAAATTTTCAATACAAATAATGTTTACAAAAAAAAGGTGGAGTGACATATCATTCAACAGGATAGATCATACATAGAATTCAATTTATCTAAATACATATTTATAATTTGTAATTGACACGAGTATATTCGATTATTCGAAATTGAATTCTCATATTTAAATACGAATCACAAAAGGAATCAAAATTATTTGTTGGGTTTACCAGTCCCAACCCGCAAAAGGCCAAAACCGTCATTAATGAATAATTAAATACACAATGAGAGCATCTCCAACCTTATTCACTATATTGGCTTGCTATTTTTATATTTTAACAAGTGAATAGTGATATAGCAAGTGATATTTTGTTCCACTCTCTAATCATGGCTTGCTAATCCATTCTACAACTCTTGGATTCCTATAATTTGGAGAGCTTGTTATATTTAGCAAGCCAAAATCATTTTTTGACAAGTTTGCTAAAATTTAACACACCCATTGGAGAAGAGAAAAATGAGTAGATTTTCTATATTATAGCTTTTAGCAAGCCAGAGTAGGATGATTGGAGATGCTCTGACAAATGTATAAGCACATCAGCACGTAGTGGTTTAAAAAACTACTCCCTCCGTCCTAAAACTTTCTTCCCAGAGCATTATTCCAACTTTACGGGAATTTATATTTATTTATGTTTTTTCATGGCCTATATAATAAAATAAAATATTCTTGTCACCACTTGTTTTGTTGAACTTTTGATGTAGTTTTCAAATATGTATGTTTTATTTTTTATTTCTATACCAATATTTAAATAAAATAAATTGAAAAAACTTGGGATTTTTCTTTTTTTTTGCGCAACGGGAAAAAAATTTTAGTACAGAGGGAGTTAATAAGAAGACAAGACGAATATTTACCCATTTATCCTACTTTTTCATAGTGTGCGTGCGTGACCGATTACTTGCTTTTTAACTTGCTTGTAGGATATTTTTTCACTTTAAGGTTAATAAAAAAACAACCATGCTCAAATTCAATGCCCTTTTCACCGGTAATATTTATGATCGAGTGTAATACACTCTCCGTCCTATAATGATCTTCCCAGAGCACTACTCCAACTTCACGGAAATTTATACTATTTATTTGTGTTTTTTCATGGCCTATATGATAAAATAAAATATTCTTGTCACCACTTGTTTTGTTAAACTTTTGATGTAGTTTTTAAATATGTATGTTTTATTTTTTATTTCTATACCAATATTTAAATAAAATAGATTGAAAAAACTTGGGATTTTTCTCCGTTTTGCGAACCGAGAAGATCATTATAGGACGGAGGGAGTATTTGGTTTTCACCTACAATACTTTTTTATTGGGACGACTTTTTTTACCAACCATTTGTGCGACTAGTATTGTGGATGAAAAGTACTCCTTCCGCTCTATTTTAAATCGTTCGTTTTGACTTTAGACATATTTAAAGAAGAGTAAAAAATAAGGTTGACTTTCTGAAATTGTCATTATTTTTTAGAAAGGTGTGACGATGAATGAGAAGAAAGTAGAGAAGAGTAACTTATTTTAGGGATAGTTTAAGTATTTTACTCTTAAAAGTTTACGATAACAAGAAACTGACAACTTATTTTGAAACGGAGAAAAAAGGAAAACGGACAATTTAAAATGGGACAGAGGAAGTATGTTGATGCACATTATGATTTTTTTAAAATTTTGATTTCATTTTAATTTATAATTTTGATACATCAAATTTAATTTTTATAACATTTATTTGTATAAAATTATGTTTATTAATAATCAAAATATTAAAAAAATTGACTGCTATAGTTAAAATGTGAGAAGATTTTTTTGAGATGAAAGTTGTACTCTTTCCATCTCAAATTAATCTTCAATTCTGAGTTATTAATACGATATCTCCATAACTAATGGTTGAATGCTTATTTTTATTGAACTTTTGATAAAATAAATATTTCTGTTACCTCTTATCTTATGCTCTCTCTGTCCAACAAAACCTTTCTCCTTTTTTTCATCCGTCCAAAAACATCTTCTCATTTCTATTAAAAAGTCATTTTTACCCCAATTAGTTCTTCACCTAACGATCACATCATACTTTTCCACTACTAATCTACCAATTACATCTACGTTTAGTTATCACATTCAGGGGCTTTTTTGGAAAGTCAACATCAAAATACACTCTTTTTAAATACCTTAAAAAACAAAACAAAAAATATTTTGTGGGACGGAAGGAGTAAAACATTTAATCTAGCTTTGACTGTGGAATTTAAAATCTGTTTTTGTATTAATTTCTCTATAAAATTACTTTAAAAGAGATGCAAGTAATTTTTTTCTTCTAGAAAAGTATTTTAAAAAGAGAAAAAAAAAGTTTCTGGAAAGGGGTGGAAAAGATATTCTTCCATCGTGGTAGATTTGGAAAACCATAGGTTGACAAAAGAAAAGATTATACTCCTCCCTCTATTCGAAAATAATCTTCCCACCTTATGTTTTTTTCGAAAATAAGTGCACCGTTTACCCCCGAATTCTTTGAAAATTGCATGGTTTACCCCTAAACATTAAAAAGTGCACCAAATACCCCTGAATTCTTCAGAAATTGCACGGTTTACCCCTAAACAATAAAAATTGCACCAAATACCCCTGAACTCTTCGAAAATTGTAAGGTTTACTCCTGAACATTTAAATAAAGATGACAATTTTGGGTAAAGATATTTTGGAAAATTCACAAGGGTCAGATGAATGATATTCACAATTCTTGTGCGTGGAAGCAACGCCCTCTCTATCCAATAGTTTACGACCAACGATGCAACGTTTTAATTTGTTCAAGGGTATTTGGTGCATTTTTAGTCTGCAGGGGTAAATCGTGCAATTTTCGAAGAGTTGAAGGGTAATCGATGCACTTTTTAAAGTTAAGGGGTAAAACATGCAAATTCTAAAGAGTAGATAAACTGCTTACTTAACTCCTTTCTCTTTTTCGATCTCCTGGTTTTGTTCTTCTTCTTCATTTCTTCTTCCACTCCCTTTTCTTTTCTCTCTCTCTCTTCCCCCATCCTCTTCGTCTTCTTCTTCTCATCCTCAACCTTGTTTTTTTCTTTCCTCCTCCCTCCCTCAGATCTACGCCTTCTCCCCCCCTTTTTCTTCTTCTTCTTCTTCTTCTAGATTTGCGTTAGATGAGTGGGGCTGGCGGTGATAGTAGAGCAGACGGCGGCGGCGGGAGTTAGAACTGGTAGATTTGTGGGGCTAGCGGTGATAGTATATCCGTGGGTTTTTCTTCTTCTTCTTTCCTCCTCCCTCGGGTTCTTCTTGATTTATTCTGGTGTGGGCCAAAGGAGATGGTGAGGGTAGCGACGACGATGATGCAATTGTCACCGGTGGGGGCTGGGCCAGCAGTGTGTGGTGGATCGGCGGAGGTGGCTGGGGCAGCGGTGGGCTGCGGCGATGACCCGGCCCGACATATTCAAACATAGTGGAGGGAGGGAGGGAGGGGCTGATATAGGAGATTGATTACCATCAACGTATCTCATGAGTATTAGGAGGGAATTAAAATTTGGGAAGCAGTCGTGTGAATCCCAATATCAGAAGATTACAGTTCATTGTTCACCGCACTAGCAAAAGGAACCAGTCCATACTTTATACCCTATCTATCTCTCTGTGTTTCGCCCAGAAACGAAAATATAATAAGCTTTGATCTGATCTGAATGTAATTATAAAGTTGTTTGCAGTTCATACTTTGGCTCAATTTCTCAAAGAGCCACGAGAAGATCATTTGCATGCGGCACTTTGTATGGTGTGGTATCTTAAGGGCTGTTACTTTTGTCTGCTACAAACAGGTGACGGTTAGTATGACTCAGATTAGGCAATATGTGCTCACACTGAGATCTCTGACAAGATAGTTTGTACAGCTTGAGATTCTCTGGTATCTTGGAAGACAAATAAGCAAACAACTGTGGCACGATCCTTCGTTGAGGTCAACTATAAGCCCTCGTCGCTACTACGTGTCAACTAAAATGGTTAAAGGGTTTATTTGGTTCTCTTGGTATATTTCATATTGATCCCATGACAATTTGTTGTGACAGTACTGCTACCCTACTATACATATTGCAACAAATCCAGTTTTTTTATGAACGCACGAAACATATCGAGGTTGACTGTCACTTTGTTCGTGATGAATTTGTTGGGGATGGAGGGTCATCCGCACGCAACACGTATCCATGACTCAACAACTAGTTGACCTTTGAAATGTTGGCTTTCCGTACGCAGGCTTTTAGATTACGACTCTAGAATGTCCATTTTTGTTATATGTTAACTTTTCGAATCTCAGCTTTTGGTATGTCGACTTTTGACTTTTGTAGTATTGTGTTCCAAGACTTATTTCATGGCACATGTATCAGTAGAAAATCACTCCGTATTACTTCGATTTTCTAGTAAAAACTCTTAGATCTCACATTATCTGAAATATAATCCAAGATTCCCTCAATTTTCTAGTAAGAACTCTGAGGTTCACATTAACTAAAATATACTTCGAGAGTCTTTAAGATTTGAGGTAATGTACTCCGATGGTATATTTCGTCCATTTGGCCGTTAATATTGAAATTTTCGTCATTTAACAAATCAAACCCCAAAAAATACTCTAGGGTACGTTTTCTGTCAAGATCTCACATGTCAAATATCACTAATATCGTTAGTTTATTAAATTTTAATAATATCCTTCAATTTTAAAATAGCATCTAAGATTTTAATGATTATAAATTGAATGATTTTATTAAAATTTAATAAGATAATGAGTATTGACGGTTAAATATAGTAATATAGGACATGTGAGTTTATAGCAGAAAATGTGAGGTATCATGGAGTAGTTTTTTGGTAATTTATTTGTCAAAAGATTAGAAAATTCAATCCTAACGTCCAAATGGACGGAATGTACTCTCGGAGTACATTACCACAAATTATACAGATTTCTAGAGTATATTTTAGATAATGTGGGATCTACAAGTTTTTACTAAAAACTCAAAAGTATCCCTGAGTAACCTTATGTAATTTAATAACTTGTATAGATTTAATTAAAATAACTAATGTGAGTACGCAAACGTTAAAGGACATTACAAATTGGAGAATTAATACAAATTTGAATTCTCGAAAAAAAATACAAAATTGAAGAATAGCTATTCATGAGCAAAATATTTGTAGTCCGAACCACTTTGTAATTTTGCATTAGACTACGGAGTATTTTCAACTAGGAGTATATACATTATTATATTCTGAGTATAATGAAATATAGAAGCTATGAAAAGGTTGTTTGATATTTAAAAGTTGTATGTTTGTGAAGGAAGACAATATTTACAAGAGGGAGGGAGTAAAACTTACAAAAATTGAAGATTGAGTTGTTAAATATATTTTTAAAAGGATTAAAAACTTTGTTTCTCTTAATTTCATTTACCATTTTCCCTTTAGCATTCCTAGAATTTTCCTCATGTTTCATTTTTAGGAAAGATTTATACCCACTTAACCACACAATTATGCTCCTTTCACATGATCAAGTGATATAGTATTTCTTTCACATTTTTATTGATCATTTGTTAAATTAAAATAACCGAGTCAATTCCCTTTGTCTCAAAATCATGTTCTAAGCCATCAATTAATTAATAAAAAAAACTACGCGATTGAAGTTTATTTGGAAGATGAAAAAATTAACCATATAATCTTTGCTTGAAGAGAATAGTGGAAAAAGATTTTAGGAGGAATAAAAGAAAGAGCATTAATGAGATGGAGAAGGTATAATTTTTACTTTATGCATCCTTCCGTCCAAGCATTTTTGTTTAATTCAATTTTTTTAGTCAAACTAAATCCAATTTAATCAACAAGTTAAATATAATAAAATCATTTTATACTAATATACACTGTAATTTTTATTTTATTGAGATTTAAATTTTTTCTAATTCGATTTAAAAGAGTCAAACGGAACAAATACACTAGAATGTAAGTAGTATTATGCACTAATTATCAAATTAATTAAATTAAAAATAACTTGAATATGATAAATTTGCCTAATAAATTTGTTTACATATGATGGACATGTAGAGAAAAGAATGAATGTTCTTGACCTCAAACAAATTTCATTTTAACCTCATTAGGGAAAGCTTATGATTAATGTCAAGTGTCAACATTTTTTATGGTGCAAATTAACTTTGAAAATACTAAAGGACCATCAATTTTCAAGTGACAAAACCAATGTGAAACTGAGTCATCATTTTGTCTGAAAACATTAAAACGCAACCATAAGATTAGCCGGTCATTAGATTTTTACGAGTAATTTGTGCATCGTCAAAACTTCAAAAGGTAATAACCAGGAACACTCATCTTTGGGTACTTTTGGTTACTTCGACCATGGTTTGATTGTTCATCGTTCGAACTGCATTGTAGATTCTGGTTGGCTTTGATGGAGGAGTTAATAAGTCTACTACCATAGAAGCTACAGGGTTATTGCTTGTTCTTTATACGACTGCAATATTCCGACTCACTTCCTAGATCAGAGGTCCTGCATAAATTACCTGCACTTGACACTCAGATGTAGAAACTTACATTCTTAAATAGTTAAAGGGAAAAGCTGCTGCAGAGATAGATAGTGGAATTATAAGGCAGGAATTCAGACCCATAGGGTAGCAAAAGCTTCTTCAAGAGCCCTTTTCCTGCTTATTTCAACAGTCCACCCGCCAGCCCTTGCAGCTCTTTCGGTTCGTTCTCTCAGTTTTTCATCATCTTCAATCTCAAATCCGAACATGTCATGAGTCGGCCCAATTGGGACAGGCTGGGTTGGGCGCGGTTGGCCAATAGCAATTGCCGGAGCATATTGTCCCTGTTGCACAGTACTAGGCCCAGCTTGAGAACTTTGGGCTGCTGCCTGTGCAAATGAAGATGAAAATCAAGTAAACAAGGCAACAAAAATCATCCCGGGTGACGGTTATGTTTTCTTTTCAAAATAAGTCGAATAATTTAGAGTCTCCATCTCTAAGCATCTTCTGCCAATAAATGTTTGTTGGATGCAAATATATTAAGTAAATGCGGAGATTTTTCTTTCAAATTGTAACACTTACGCGAATGAACTTTTTTAAAAACAATGGTGTGTGTGTGTGTGTGTATCAACACATCAGAGTCATGAACAAGATTTGTTTTAATCATTGAACTCTGATCCTGAAAGCCGTGCTCTTTAGCATCTTTATCAATGATGGGGCCAGTATGTGTATTCGGCGGTTCAATTATAAATTTCTCAGGATTGAACACAGGGCCGTTTGTAAGCAATTTTCTCTAAGAAACTAAGTGTTATTTAATCTCGAGAACAGTGTGTTCTTTAATTATAAATGCTGTATGCACACATGTATAATTAGCTCTTAAAGTATTTCCTTTGTAAAATTTATGTTTTCCTCCCTTCTCTATGCTAACTGCTACCACATCACAATAATGCCATTATCCTTGCCGATGGCTCAAAAAGACAAGCCACTCGTATCGATAAAGCATCATCTCTTCCCTCTCCATCTTTAGATTCAGTTTTGCTTACTCACAAACATCATTTTAACTTGATTTGCATTTGCCAACTTACCCAATCTGGCGATCCTTCAAGTGCCCTATAACTCTCACCTCCACTTCTTTTTCTATTTGAAACTGGAGTTTTTGGGAGATGACATGAGCAAGAACCGAGTGTCATGGTCTTTACTACGTGTAACTGCTATCATCCATAATATGCATCACACAAAGTTTTTTAAAGCGCGATGTGCAAAGGTGCTCTTGCGCCTCGATGCGCGATGCGCCATCGATGCATGCGCATCACGAACACAATGCGCTTACAAGAAGAAAAAATGATTTTAAAAAAACAGCAATTATACTGAATAAACAGCTGAGTGCTGACTTGCTGCAAGCCTGCAAATCTGTATTGTAGATGAAAAAACGTTTGAAAAAAAAGATCAAAACCTACTAGGAAAAAACTCCAAGAAGAACCAAAAATACCCCCTGGTAAAAGGATGCAACCAGACTCCAGATAAGCCTACCAGCTGCATCCAAGGAACTTGTGTCGGTGCGTCTGTGCGTGCAAGACACCAACGCCCCTCTCAGAGTTGAAGCAGAGAGACCAGAGAAGTAGGGAGTCAGGAGGTTGCCAGCAACTCGTAAGGTCATAGGGCACAAAAGAGAAATAGGCGGAAGAGTCGGGCCAAAAAGTGGAGTGTAAACCTATTCTTAAACCAAATTTAGTTTAAAAGGACTAATTGTTCGCGGTGCACGCCTCATAGCGCAACAGATCGCATTGCATAATGCGATGATGGCATGATGCGCTGTCATGCACGCGGCTCAAGAACGTTGCCCGCATCACCTAGCTTGATGCACAGGCACTTTCGCCTTGTGGGCATCGCCCTTCAAGCACGCTTTTCACAACTATGGAATCACATCCTCTTATCAACATTTGGGTCATCCCCATCTCAATATTCTGCATCTATGCTCCAGCTATTTGAACAAACGAAAACTCTCTAGCAAGGTAGTCAAACTCAAGATTCTATGTACGATCAATACCCGAAGTAAAGATCTTGACACAGATTGTAAGATCACACACACACCGAGTATATATAACACATACTCCCTCCGTCCAATTTATTCTTCCCATTTGGAAGAACGTACAAAATCCCATAACTTTTAACATGATTTTATTTATAAATTAGTATAGAAATAAAAAGTATAAACTACAATGTTCAAAACTAAATCAAAAGTCCTACAAAACAAGACGTGACAAAAAATGGTTTATTTTATCAAATGATCAATGAAAACATGCATTCAAAGATAAGTTAGTGAGAGAACGTAATAGTAAGTGGGAACATTAATTTGGGATGAAGGGAGTATGTATTAATTTAGTAATAAATAACTAGGATTGAAAATAGAAGTAGAAGCACATGTATTCGATAAGTCATTTCATATCACAAGTGGTTTAGAAAACCCATGCAATTTTTGATTGCTTCTTGGATTTCTTGCATGCAATATAGTATGAGTGATCGGAAACTACGAGCCGCTAACAACAACCCAGTCGAATCCTACAAGAGTAGGGTATGGGGTGTGTGCACGAAGACCTTAGTACGTTACCCCTACTCGAGAGTTGGGAGGCAATTTCCAAGAGACTCCTGACTCAAGTAACACAGCGAGCACAAGATAACAGAAGACACATAGAGCAGAGAAAACACATAGCACAAAAAGGAAAAGAGCAAACTAATATTAACGAATGAAAGACAAAGCAAGCAGAAAGCACCAAGCATAAAGGCACACAGCAACAAGTGCACAAACTAATATCAATCCTAAAACACCTACCCAACTACCCTAATCCTAGCTCTCTAAACGTTCCTAAGAGCCACTGTAATTTCTAATCGTTTCTTGGATATCCCGCAGGCGATTATCATTTCTCGGTTGCTAACTACTCTAATTTGTGCAATCCGCTACAATTCCAGAGCTCCTATGGTCCGACACATCGATCCTTTGCTGTCTCTTAAAGATCCGATCTTATACGTGATTTAGATCGCAATCCCTTGGGCGATATGTTGAATTACACAATTCTACGCGTCAACTTGTGAGCTTAACTACTATGCGTATAATCGATGTACGACGTAAAATCGCAAATTGTAAGATTGTGACACGGATACACACACAGGTGTGTGTGTGAAAGAACACATGTTTGAACAAAAGAAAACATAGAATCCAAAGTAGAAGAAGCAGCAGCTCTTGCCAGCACTACGATTTGTATGCTTCGTTCTAATTTCCATCTTATTTGCAATTTGGATACAATTCCCTGTGTGATGTGTAAAATTGCACGCTCCTACTAGTGAACTCACGAGTTTGACTATCTTGCTATCTAGGCTTAGCAGACTGGCATATATGGAGGTGGCATAGATGTTTTATGGCCTCTAGGAACTTAATTTACCAATGAAACAAACAAATCAATGTTTTAGAATGCATTAACTAACAAAATGAAGAAAATATTTCACAATACATGGTATTAGTTCAACTTACTGTATCACCATCAGGCCGGAAAGGTCCCTTACTTAAGGCTGCTGCCAACTCTTCTGCCTAATTTACCAAAAACATAAATGAGTACTAGAAGGGGCACCACAACACGCATGCATTTGAACAGCAGGCACTGAATGTACCTTACGAGCTTGAGAAATCATGATTTGTTCTGCATTTTCTTTTTGGTATTGAGCAATCTTTGCCTCAATAGCAGGGACATTTATTCCTTCAATCAACTCACATACTGCATGTAGGAGGATACTGTTACACACTTTAAGACTTTCAATCTAGTCACTAGAATACATAAACTTACTCATATTTTCTACTTCTTCCAGATAATCATTGTAATCCCGTAATGATGGAAAATCCTCTTCTCTTTTATTATATCTGCATAGTTTAATAAGCATATTGTGTAACAAAGTCACCTACTCATCTGACATGGAAAATTATGAAACCACTAACAACTTGGACTTCTTTTATCCCACACCCCACCCACTTCTAAATTTTCTGCAATGGTGTTTCCTACCAATTTCTTATTAGATAATGTGCACAGAGTATCCAAGCTACCTGGTTAGATAATGTACCTATTTGGAAAAGATTAATCAAAGAAATCAATGCTTCAACGGTTTTTAAGAATCAACCTTTAGATATTGGGAAAATATAATGGATTATAGATAGTACAAAAAGGTTTGGCTGATCAAAGCTAATCATCTGTTTACATAATCACAACTTATAGCTAACACTGGACAATATCATCAAGCATATCAAACATCACGTGTACTTCTTGCAAAATGAAGGTACCAACACTTTATAGCAAAGTAGAAAACCAAATACAGAATTGAACAATCATAGAGATATGTGGGCAAATCATGTACCTAATAATGACTTACTAAAGCTAAAAATGTAAAGGAGTCATAGAGAAGGCAGAGAAATTATTTGCATCCAAAGCGTGTTTTATCAGGTGTTAACCTGTTACTAATTGTGCCACACAGCCCACAATGATGTATGCCTCCAGCACTTCAATGTATGATAGCAAGGCTAAGATGCCAGTAAGCACGTAGATAAAAAAACAATCATTTACAAAACTGAGTTTTTCAGGGATCTACACATGAAATTTAAAAAATAGATACTAGATACAGAGTACTCTAATAAATTTTATTCACTCTAGACTCAACTGTATACTTGTAAAGAACAGTGTGACATCCGAATATAGAGAAACATTTCTTAGATAAATGATCGACGGATGGGTACATACTTGCATCACTTCAATTATAAATATAGACACATGCATACTGAGGATTAAGGCTATAGGAGAAGAAAACATACATATTGCCGATGCGCTTCCGTATGGCCATTTCTTTGGCGAATGGATTGCCTCCCGAAGTGCCCACCATTGTTGGGCTTTGCTTGGACTTGACTCGTTACGGTGAACTTTCAAAATTGTAGGTATGTAGTTCGCCCCAATATGATCCAAACACAAATCCTAGGTCTCCTGAAGTGTTTCCAACTGGAACAGAGTAACAGACTGCTGAATGGGTAATAATCTAATTAGTTCATGCCAAAAAGCACAAGGGATATCGCTAAGAAAAGATGGATGAAGAGATATGCCTACAGGGTTGGTCCGAAACATAAAAGAACCAGTACGAAGACAAAAATTTGACCCCTATTGACTATTGTATCTCATAAATGCAAATTTTAAAGAAGTTTCATAGTAATTATTGAATTTGTTACAATGAAGGAGAAACATCACTACAAGTTTACATAAAAAGAGACATCCTCTTTGCATATTTTGATTCAAAATCTTCAATCAAACTGCCCATTTTCACTTCTTCCAAACTCTCACATTCAACCAATATCAAGGCCAATCTGTTTACTAAAATGTCTTCATGGCACGCCTTCATTTACTAAAACGCATTTTACAACCCCTTTTCTAAAAGTCTTGCAACAAAAACAAAACACTTTGTCTAGCTCTTTAGAATAGATGAGCCACTCGCGATCACATTTTCCGCATTTTGCAATTCTCTCTTGTAATTAGTTGAAGAAAATGTGCACCCAAATTTATCCTTAAGACCATATACTAGTGAAAAATATCTTTTTGGGCCATTTCTTACCAAAATATCAATCAATCAAGAATCGAGAGCAAGCCAACTTCTTGGATGATATAGGTTTATTAAATCAAATTTGTTGGTATTCTCGTGTGGAAGAGTGAATCCATTTCAATAATTTCAGCATTAACATCTTCAAATTGATCAGCGTTATCTAAACCTTCAAGATTGTTGACTTCACACACATCTTCTAAAACAACATCACTTTCGCTCAGGATCAAGTTTTTGTTCGCTCTCATTGGATTCCATTAAAATAAATTTTTCCAGTGCTCCTCTATGGGATTGTGTAAGTTCAGTCTCCTTTTCCTTTTAGGTTTATCATAGCCTGATACCTATTTCCTAATAACCATTCTAAAGTATAGTACTCCGTAATTCTGTATAAAAACATTATGAGAAACAAGGAGTAATTTTTTTTAATAAATAATAATAACCATTTGAAGCAATTAGCATTAAGCATTTGAACTTATTAGCATTAACTTCTTTTTAAGAGGAAAAAATAAAAATAAAAAAAACTGATTTTTTATCAAATCACAATTCATTAATCATTCTAAGTAAACATTAAACATTAAATTTCATAGAATAAGAAATTGGACAATTAAAATTAAAAAGACAAATAAAATTAGGGATTTATTCATTAAAACCAAAAAATCATACCAGAACAGCCTGCTGGACGGCGCCGACGCGGAGGGACGAGGGCAGCCGCGTCGCGGTCAGGCCGGCTGCCGGTGGCAGTGAAGATGAGGCGACCAGTCTTCCTCTGTCTTCAGTCTTGGCGTCTTTAGAAGAATTTATGGAAAAGGGCAGAAAAAGGTTGGAATTTACGAGAATGCCCTCCTAGATTTAACACAGATTCGCGTGAGGCGCGTCCGCTCTACTTGCGTGAAATGAGGGGAAATGACAGAAAGGCCCTTCCAACCAAGAAACAAAACATCACTGTTTATGACCATTACTTCAAAAATTAAACGAAAATATTAAAATGAACGACCAGCCGTTAAGTTCCCTTCGAAGCGTCACGATGATTTTCGGAAAGGCCAAACGGCGTCGTTTGAAAAGCCAACCCCTCCTTAATCCCCCGACCAGTCTTCGGAAACGATACGCCTTCATCAATCGAAACTCTTCTGCTCTTCGTTCTCCATTGCATATCGTCGTTATCGTCGTTGGATACCTTCAAGAACTGCCATGGAGAACACCGGAGCAAGTTGCGAATTCCAGTACAAGAGAAGAATAACTCTCACCCAAGCACGAAGGGAGGAGATGGAGAATGAAAACCAGGTATTTTCAAATAATCCTCACTTAAAATTAACTAATTTTGGTTTTATTTTGAACTATTTGGGATTGGTGTCAGATTTCTGCTGAGGTAACTCCATCTGTGGAGGGTGAATCGTTCCCAGATGCTTCGGAAATTGAGGTGCATTGCATGTACACTAAAATATAACATTTGAAGTTTATTTTGTTTGTTTTTGAAACATTCGGAAACAGAACAAGTTATTCGACCATGGAAATAATCAATATAATGTAATAGTAATTGGTTACAGTCGAATGCAGTCGAACTGTTTGATTAGTTCTTGATTTTAATTCTAGGTTCCAGCATTGGATTGCACCATTGATATTGATAAAATACCTGGAATGAAGTTAACCCTGAAATCTTCTTTGGGGGAGTTCCAGAATCTGATGAGCGAAGGACTTGGAGATCATCCAGAAGTCCTTGATCTGTTTAGGGAGAACACCACTTTTTCTCATTTTTTGGATGTTGAGTGTATTCCTCCTCCTCTGTTCCTACGGCAACTCATTGCGAGGGAAGCCAAAATAAAGAGGAAAGGAGAGATGTGGTTTGTTGTCAAAAGAGTTCTTGTCACGTACTCCTTGAGGGAGTTTTCACTCATAAGCGGCCTCAATTGCTCTCACCTTAACGTCGGCTTTGAAAATTCTAAGGAATTAACCTCTGCAAAGAATGATTTCATTCGAGCTCACTTTCCTTAGAAGGGAAAGAAATTTGCAGCAGTCACATACAAGATGGTTGTGCAGCTTGGACATTTGTAAAGGCTTGGACAGGGAAAAGAAGAAAGAAGGCCAGGAGATGGATGCTGTGAAAATGGCAACACTATTGTTTGTTGTTGTTGTTCTCTTGGGTCCTGCTAATCGCGACAAGTCTGCAATTCCAAATTGGATTCAGGGCATGATTGCACAGTGGACAGCAGTTCTAGGTTTCCCATGGGGAACCTGGGCATTTATGGAGTCCTTGGGGTCATTAAGGAAAGACCTAACTGCCAAGGCCAAATCAATTGGAAGAGGGGCCTCATCAACCATGTACTATACTGGTTTCTTGCTTCCCATTGGGGTAAGGATTTTTCAATTATAATATTTCTTATAATTTTTATTGAAATGTGATCTCATTGAAACTTTCAATATGAAAAGATCCTTTTTCTAGAGAGTTGCTTGGGGACTGGAACAAATATTACAATAAGAAGCCCACAGAGCTAGGCCAAGAATCTGCCTTTGGGGTGAGATTCCAATAAGAAGAAAATCACCCACACAAAAATGGATGCTTACGTTGGGGACGTGCAGGTATATACATATTATTGGTCAAGAAAGATTAAAAATTTAAGGAATTCCAAAAATAAAGTGTCATTGTTTTGGTTGCAGGCTCTAGAGAGCATTCTTGTTCCCGACAAGTTTGAGGCTACTGCTGAGTGGTATTTAAACTTCCTAAAAGAGGGTGCGATCCATCCTCGATAAGTGCAAGGATCTCATGCTACACGTGGTCATCCTTCATCGGTGTTGGAGGAAGTCAAACCCAAACATTACTCATTTTACCCCTTTTAGACTCTTATTGACCAGCTACATTACGTCCCGAACCTAAGACTTTTTTATAAGGGTAAGGGAAGAGAGTATATAAGAGAGAGTGCAGTAGAGAGCACATGGAAACATGGACAACTGTTGCTACTCCATCTGCTGCAAAATCAAAAATTTTCCATACCCCTCATTCCCTCAAAGCTTCCCCACCTCATTCATGTTTTTGGTACATGTTTTTGATATGATAGATGGACGTTGGCATTAAGTTTAAAATTAATATATTTATATCATTAAAAAAATAGCTCTAAATCAACTAATATATAGTTTATTTGTTAATTACGGAGTACTAAGTTTAATACATTTATAGTTTCTCTCATCCTGTAGTTGGGAATGTCCAAGATAGATCTTCTAATTTGACTCTGTTATGGAAAAACAAGTCCAGAAAGAGGACTCTTTATGGGACACAATAAGGATTAGTCCTTTTTTTATTTATAAAAGTAACCAGCCAGAATAAAATTTACAAAGAATCAGTCCACATATTTGACATTGAGAGCACACACACTTTCAAAGGGTTCTCCTTGAACAGTCCATTTGAACTTAGGACAGGCAAATTTAAAGCTCAGTTCAGTTCCATTAGCCACACATTGAGTGGCTCAGTCTCTACATAATTCAGATTCAATCCTTCACAATTTCTAATGATAAGTCATGGAGCAAATCAAGCAAACAATAAGAACAATCAAGGATTGGAACATGAACAAATACTTTGGATCACAAATACTAACTACTCTCCTAATAATTCCTTTTAATTGAGATGATGTGAATCTCTCTTGTAATGGAAAATAGAAGAAAAAAACCTGGGCTGAGATCCGACCTAGGGACGGGAAAGACAGGTCGTCGGCAGAGGGAAGGGTTCCGAGAAAGACAACGCCGGAGATCGTCGGCAGCGGGCGGCTTCTGATTCCGGCAAAGAGAACGCTGGAGATGGAGACGATGGAGGGAGACGGCGATGCAGAAACTAGGAGATGTTGTAGAAGGCGCTAGGGGATGCAGTTAACGGATGTGAGAAACTTAGTTATAATAGAAGACTACTCGGAGTGCTTTGTAGTTATAATAGAAAAAAATTGTGACATTTATTCCATTAGTAATTTTAAAAAAATGTCGCGCATTTACTCTGTAACAATCAAAAAAATAAAACGTAGTCCAAAAATTTATGTTTTGAGTTCGGGTTGAATTATGTTTAGAGTCATTAAAATCTTGGGGTTGGGTCGGATTATGTTTTGAGTCATTAAAAATTCACGTGATTTGAATGACTTTCGATTTCAAATCGCTTAACTTTTAATCAAGTAAGTTTTTCCTATAAAGACGAATAATATTCGCAATTCGCAAAATAAATTATTACAAAATGTGTCCATTCAAAGGAGGTTTACATCGGTTAATGTCCTATTGGATCATAAGATGATGGATCATTGTAGTTCCCCCAAAGTTAGCAGAAATTATACCAAACAAAAATTGTTTCAACCAGTTTTTGACTCGAAACTTTATCAGAAAATACTGATTTTTAAGCAAAAATTTCCTTGTCCAAGCTTAAAAACTACGGAAGTACCTGTTAAAACTAGATCAACCCCGACCGAACTCAAACCCAACAAAATATAAGTGGAAGCATGAATTCAAATTTTCAAAAAATAAATGACATAACTCATTGGGTCACCCCAAACACGAAGTAACCTAAACACAAACCCGACCTAACTGCAATGTTTGTCAACTCTAGATGAAATCAATCAAGACTTAAAAGATTAGCACATAAGAATTATATAATTTTCTAGTTTTAATGGGAAGGAGGAGCAATGTTCAAACGAATACAACGTTAAATATCAAACCCCCACCCCACCCCGCCGTTACGCCGCGACTAAAACCTAGCAAACTAACCTAAAATGGAGACTCAAAGAAAGAGCAGAAAAAGAAAGGAAGAAAAAAAAGATCACTCTGTACAGAAGAAAGGGGATGAGATGATGAGGTTATCGAGGCATGTTCGTTTCCGAACTGCACGTTTACATGGCTTGCGGTTTCTCCACAACAATCCGAGAAGAACGTTTTTATTATTGTTACTATTGTTATTTTCCCACTCCCTCGGCCGCGGTGGGCCCACTTCCACCACGTCGGTGGCGTTGGATTTTCCAGCCTTCCTTCTCACTTCTGTGGGCCGAGGGGATGGCGTTTGGGGCTCCTTTGGTTTTCCAACACCACACCTGTTTTCAAGTTTGAAAGAATCAAATCAACACCCATTTGCAGCTGGCAAACAAACTTTGGTCATCAATCAAATAAAAATATATTATATCCGGCCGGTTCTTGTGACATTGGCGCCGAATGACATAGGATGCCCGAGCCTCCTATGGGACTCCGTTGTTAAAATTGATGGTTCTGACCCCCATTAACCCCCCCCCCCCCCCTTTCCTATTGGCGAAGGGGAAGAGGGTTGGGGGTGCACGGCGTTTGGGGGGGGTAAGAAGAGTAAGAACTATTAATTTTACCAACGGAGCCCCGTAGGAGGCCTGAGCAGCGCCAATGTCACATGAACAGTGGTGATATTAAATTGAGCATTAACACAAGAACTCCCTTCTTTTGACATTGGGAGTCCATGTCGTAATATGACATTGGCTCTAATTGGGCACCTACGGTGCACCGTTCATAAAATTGACAGTTCTTACCCCCGATAAACCCCCCACCCCGGGGTTTACTAAAATTTTGCTAAAACTTAGTGCTACAATATAATGCATAGAAATAAATTACGAATTATAAATCACACGACAATTCATGCATTTTTTACCCGTCTTCGATGGATGGTATGGATGCATGAGCAGCAGAAGCATCTTCGGATTCGACACCACAGGCTGGGCATATATAGATCTTTGGGAGAGAAGACAACTGAATGCAATCAAAGTGATACCATTCGTCACATTTGTCGCAAGCAATCATTGCCCTCTCATCATACGGTCTCCGACAGATGCAGTAGAGCAAACACCTATCCCTCAGTAACTGCATTATTTACCCAAAACCGAGATGATAGAGTGGTGAGGTAAGTATTTTTATACATCAATATGATGAAGTGTGGCAAATGCGCTCTTACTTTGAGTTCATTCTCACAATTCACGGCCAGATTCTCGCCCTCAGAGATCAGGTTGAAGACCTTATCCAATCCAAGTGCACCGCCATCTGCAGCAACCTACCAAGAGAAAGCAGAAATTCGCAGCCAGTGTTTGGTTGGGTTGTCAGCTTCATTTTCGATGGGGTTAAAAGAGTCTTTTTTTACAATGTTTTAGCTTTGGGTAAATAAAGGATTCGATAAAAAATGGCAACATTAATCTTCTCATGCTTCTTACTTTCTATGATGTTTTGGGAAGTAAATGCAATGCATTGAATTGAAGGTCTAAAGGGATTTCGCAATCCATTGAAGGTGATTTCTCAATTATTTTGCCAAAAAAAAGTGCCCGACAAAAATTACTTGACACAACAATTTTGTTTTTGAAGGATGACATCACACTATTTTTTTCAAAATTAAGCAATATATGTGCTTGAACAGAAACCTTAGAGCATAAATTTACCTTCTTTGCAGTGTTGGCCCATTCTGTTCCTATATCATGTGCTTCTGTCAGTCTCTGCCTTAGGTAATCTTTGGTAGAAACACCTATAGATATTCCCTGGAGTATATACATATAGGTTGATCAGTAGATGTTGAAAGCAATGTGTCTCTTTCTTGAGGGAAAAAAAAGATGTAAAGTATTATGAAAAACCTTCTTTAAGTGTTGCCGGATGTGTTGAGCAGTGGGCTTTTGAGGACCATCCATTAGCTTCAGAGCTCCAACTCTCCATGAATTTTTCGCTAATGCCAACTCCAGTTTGCAGTTGGTTTCAGAATCATCAATACCGGCCACATTTACTGCCTGCAAGAATTAAGTTTTAGCCTATCTTTTATTTTCCTTCAAATTTACCTCAATGTTTTCCTTCCCTAGTATTTTCCGGGTCTAAAGGGAACCTGAGAAATTTAAAATAAATACAACCTCCGTCCCAAAATAAAAGACAAAAGTTTGATTTACGATGGTTGACTAGATTTATTTTCAATTTGTTTATATATTTATAAAAGATGAAGGCCTATATATGTTCAAAAACTACACCAAAACATCTACAAAACAAGAGGTGAGATGATTATATAATTTGATATTATTTGGTCTAGTAATCGATGAAAATATGCAAGGAAAGAAGATATAGTTCGATGTTGTGCACTTGTGCTTAGTAATTGTGTCCCTTAAGGCTCTGTCTGATTGTAGTGTAATGAAAAAGCTATTGTTGATTTGATTCCAATAAGCTCCAGTGTCAACTGACCGTAGCATGTCATCTTACCGTAAGATTGTAGTGTAATGAAAAAGCTATTGTTGAGAACGGGGCCTAAATTTGGGATGGGGGGAGTAAATGAAAGCAACTACTAGCACATGAAATTCACAAGGAATTCCACAGAGAGTGGATAGAAGGAGAACCATGTGTACATTTGAAACTCGGAAAATGCTATGGAAAAATAGGGAGAAAATAAAGAAATTTGGAACGAAAGAATGTGAGGGTCAAGGAATAAAGAAAATATTCAGAGTTTATGAAAATAAAGAAAATAATCAGAGTTTATGTAGAATTTCAAATAGTTCTTTGTCAAATTCGATTTTCCTTCGTATTCTCCAAGGTATAACCAAACATTTAAAAAACCATTTTTCCACTGTTGCTTTTCCTTTTCCTTTCCATGTCGTTTTCCAGTTCCAAAAAAGGCCTACCAATATAAAAACTTTGATGATAAATAAGCAATAGTAAATTAAGATATCCACCTTTAATGCAACTGTAAGTTTTTCAGAAACAATACTTAGATTCGCCTCCTCCTCAGGGCAAGCTGATGCAGAATTTGAGATTTCTCTTAAGCACATGCTGAGCCGAAGACCTCTGTCCATGATTTGGCAAAGTAATGATCTTTCCTCAATCCTGTCACGTAAAAGCCAGAAAAAAAGGAGGTAAAACCAAAAAGTTTAGGCATGCCAATAAAAACCATACCCCCCACAAAGCATGTTCAGTAATAAATCTGTGGCAGAAAAAATGGCAGTGAAGATATATATTTTCAATGAAAAATGGGAGTTAACTCATTATTATTCTTACCATAAACAGAGACCATCAGCATCTGACAAAAGCTTGCTGAGCTTCTTCAATTCAAAACGCTTCCGCCCTTTTTTCTGTATGATGATGATGATGATGTGAAAGAACACCAATCAGAGCAGAAGTTGTATTGTTAAAATCACAGCAAAAATCACGTAGACAACCGAATAATGCAAAAGCATACCAGCAAGTTGCAAACATTTTTAGAGATTTTCCCACTTCTCGTGTATTGGCAATAGGGGCAATTAAATGGAACATTTTTTGTCTCCAAAGATGGTTGTCCCATACATCCCAAGTGGAAGCTGTGTAGAAGAATATCAGCTTTACAATACTTGACATTTAGAAGCAATTAACAAAAAATAATAATGGCATGTTTGGAAGGAGGTAGCACAAGGGAGGTCAAGGTAATGACACCAACCTACCTCCCTTGATCATATTTGGGAAACAATGTAAGCGAGGACCACTGAGGTAAGAATTACCTCATAATACCAATTTTTTGTAACCTCCGAATCGGAGAGCAACTGAGGTAAGTTATTCTCCTAATACTCCGTATGTAATATTAGTATCTACCTCTAGTTACCTTCATCTATCTCCCTTAAAGGACCTCCTCCCAAAAAAGGTAAAACTTACCAGTCGTTGCAAGAAGAACAAGTCAAAAGCTTCTGTCTATTAGTAGCAGTGGAGCAGAATATACACATATCTTGTCTCTTGAAAAAGTTAGAGTTGTCAAAAATGAAAAATGAAGTATCAAGAGCATTTCTAATCTGCAAAAAAAAATTGAGAATTTTCCATAAGACATCAAAACCAGAGCTTAGAAGATGGAACTAAGATATGAAACAAATAAATAATGGGGGATTGAACCTCTAAAAGAGCACTAAGTAGCATGTTGGCATCACCAGAAGACCAAAACATATCAATGCAGCGATGCTTCCACTCATCTATTTTATGAACCTCAGAGATAACCATGTCCAATTCAGAACATGTAAATGCATCCGTGCTTCCAAGTTCCTGAATGTGTTTTCAAGTCACTAGCCATAATATAACTAGCCTTCATGATCAATACAAATGAGCATCAAAGACAGAAAAAAATACAATATGAACAACGGGTGGTTTAGTCCTTGTAGGGTTGTTAGTGTGTAGAAGTGTGCATTCTTATTTTCATACGGGTCACTACTTGGAGTAGAGGAAAGGTATGGGTACATCTTGCCCCCCTAAACTCTACTATTAAGTGGGATATACTGGTTACGGTTGATATGGTTTGGTTTATGGTTCAAGACTTAAACTAAAGTAGGAAAAAATGATCAAATCAAAATGAGGGAAAAGAAATATAGCTCACTTAATAAATTTGAAAAGAAATGATTTTGACATTAGATTGCAAGATATGAAAACACTAGTCTTGAACTAAAGAATGATACCTTTAGCTGCAGTAACATGCCTAATGCCCGATCCTTCAAGCCAAGACTAAAAAATAATCGAACTTGCTCCAGCCACAAACTACAAACAAGTATTAAAATACCAGTTAGAGCATACTATAAATGAGAAAACTGCATGAAACTTAAAATTTTGGGAATGTACTTATGTTTCGCAATAGCATTCTTGATTTGAGAGACTATCACAGGAGATGATATCTGAACACTCTGCAATTCAGATTTAAAATAGGGATAACTTTAGTCTCGAACATGCGAGAGGGCCAAATTTACTGATTACAGATGCAAGTATAGGTTGCAAGTAGTGGCAAAAAGGTTAACACCATTCGCAGTGGACTAGAAAAAAAAAAGGTCTACCTGAGACTGCCTAAGCACATCCTCAGCATCCTTCAAACTGAATCTCCTGAGATTGGATTGAGCTGAAACTTCCAAGGCTTTCTTAAGCCAATTTACCCCATCCAACAGCACAGTGTACAACTTAGAAGATGCATATACAGTAGGAGAACGGCCAACAACTTCCAAAGTTTTTTCAATTTCCTACAAGAAATATGCATAAGCTATAAATGGATCAACTGCTATATTACTATGAGCCAGAAGTAAAGCATAGAAAGGGGGAAACAACTTCACGAGCCAATATGTCTATCAAATATCTAACTACCCATTGGTTAGGAAAACAGTCGATTACCTTAATGGAAGGACTACTGGCAGAGAAAGAAAGAACCTTGACACACCACTTCAGAGTTGAGCAGACACCTCGAAGCTTGGAAATCATATCCAGTTCAAAACCAAGAGAGTGACCGGCTTGTACGGTACGCTGTATTGATGAAATTTGATGTTCAAGTTTTGGGGTGAGAGTGCTAAAAATATTATCACCTATGACATCAGCATTCAATAGGGTATCTGCATCGTTCAACAAAGAGCAGGCATCCAGTTCCCAACTTGTGCACTGATCGAGAAGTTTCTGAATGATAGGTTGTTCTTCCAAAGAGATCTTCAGATGCTTTGACTGGGATGATAACTCCTGCAGAAAATACATGAGTTCAGTAAACTGTAGACTCAGTTCCTCTGTTTAAAAAATGTTCATTAAGCAAAAAAAATGTTTTATAAGGTGATAATAAATTTGGTAAACATTTACAAACATTCCCGTATTGATTTCTGTGAATTAGAAGTAACGAACAAAAATGTAATGAATATGAGGGCAACTTAGCTACTGTTTTAAACTGCTAAATGGCCAGTTATTTGTGAAAAAATTGGTTTTGATCAATAGAAAGTTGAGTGATAGTTTGTATGATTAATTCAAATCAAGGTGAATGGGGTCAACCTTCAAATCCTCAACTTTATGCAACAAGCATGAAGAAGCAAGTGCTGCTGGCGATTGGTTCGTTATAAAAGGTCTAGACCTGAGTAGCCAAGACTTGGCCTTGGAAACGGCATCATTAATATCATCAAGAGATGGTAGAATGACAACCAAACTTTCAGAAGCCCTGTCATCCAGTTTGAAATGTTATTTAGAACTCTATCACAAGATTTAACAAGGGTTAATAGCAGCACGATTATTAAAAATACCTGATAGCATCCTCAAATTCAGATATATCCGCCTTAGTTCCAAGTAAGTTCTTCGCTCTTTCTTCCCAAGAAAGAGCAAGTGCATGCACCTTGGAAATATCAAGAAAAAGGTTCTCCTTCTCAATCTCCAACCTGACATATATTAAACGTATCAGGTTTGAAATCGGCAACTCTGTGAAGTGCATTGCTATTGAAGAGGTAAATATTAGGAGACATACATGCTAGCATCCACCAACAGCTGCTCTATATAATCCATGGATGTTCTGCTATGAAGTGCCTGAATGAATGATTTGCACCTTTTGTAATTTAAGATAAGACACCACCACTATACATACTTGTTTAGAAGATAACTGAGTGTCATGGTTGTGAAATAGAATTCCGTGAATAGACATACAACCTAAGGTCCCACAAGTGGGGTCTGGAGAGGCTAGGTGTACGCAAACCTTGCCCATATGTAGACAGGTAGAGTAAGAAAGCTCGATAAATATATAAAGATTAGTAAAATGGATCAGGTTTACCTTCAGTGCTTTTGCCCGGCAGCTAGCTTTTCTCAGTTCAATTTCAATACAGGGCAGCTCCACAACTATTCAAAAAAACAAAGAAACAAATGAAATAAGATGTCGGATCATCTCCTCAATATCCAGTACAGTATCAACAAAAAGAATGCACCAAGCATGTCCAAAATTCCACACCCTGAATTCTCAGACAAGATGCATCTTTCTGAAGACAAGTTAACTCATGAACAACACGGTCTTGGTCTTCCCTTTCACTGATGTTTACTAGGATGTTCTTAAGACGGGATACCCAAGACAAAGCATCTTTATGATATTGTTTTAGAAGTTCAAGCTCCGGAATGTTAACCGTGAAAGCCTTCCATTCATTTATAATCAATTCGAGTTCCTGTACAAGACTTGAATCCGATTAGCATTCCACTTCATCAACTTTTTTCATAAAGAAACAATAATAAACACGATACATAATGCCCAACCTTTAGGCTAATAGAACGTTCCAACATCTCTTTGCACTGAGAGCGGCACATTTCAACTTTTGCAACTAAATCTAATAACATTTGAACTTCAGGGAGTTCAACTTGAAGATCCGAAATCTGGATACAGATTACTTAAAATAATTAGTACAGTAGAATCAGGATCAAGTATGGCACCCAGAAAAAGGAACTCATGACTTTAGCTGTCACCTCCTCCTGCAATTTATAGAGAACGTCTGCCTCGACTGCAGCAGAAGACTTTTCTGAGATGCACTTTATAGCAGCATCTTTCCAAGCCTGAAGGATTACAATGATATATTACTAATTAGTCTAAGAATGAGAATAGACTAAAGCTACTATTAAAGCCAAAGGAAAAAACAATATTCTCATTAGGACAACAAAACAACAACCCCCTTTAAATCCAACAGTATGGAGTCTGGGGAGGGTCTAGGGAGGGTGTGTGTATGTAGGCTTTACCCCTGCTTGAAAAGTAGAGAGGTTGTTTCCAAGACACCCTTTCTAAAAACAAAAGAAACACTGAAAACCATGTTAAGGGAACAGGAGTGACAAAGGATAGTTGCACGAAAGAAGCAAACACACATGCAGAAACGACAAACCAAGACACAAAAGACTACCCTAACACCCTAATCCTAAACCTCCACACACTCCTATAGAGTCATATCCTCCGTCAGATCCTGAAGCCATAAGTCAAGTCTAATCACCTTCTTCCAACTCTTCTTAAGTCTACCTCTACACTTCCTAATGTCCCCTGCCCCAGGCCTCTCACTGGGCATCCATACTTCTCCTTATTACATGCCCAACCCACCTCGCCACCTCGGCCTAGCTTTATATAGTTTAGGACAACAGTTATTCATATATATACCTTCACTGAAGACAGTATGCATATCAACTTCTCACTTTCTGTTGCATAGACAGGCGAATCACATATCTTAGATTGCAAATTCTCCAACTCATCTACCTGAAAGAAATTAACAAATGACTTGTCATGGCAGAAGAAAAAAACTCATCAAATAAAACAGGTCAAACACAGATACATTACACAACAATATATTGATTGGAAAAGAGTTCACATAAGTACATTAAAGAGCATATCAAATCATAAGCCGCAACGATCTTTCTTACAGAAATCTTAGGACATAATGAAAGAATAGAACCAATTTCCTGAATCAGAATGCTTCCTTTTGTCTGGTAATCCTGCACCCGATTGAAAAGTGGTCAGAGAATAATAAAATCTCGACATCTAACTGAAGTGCTCACTCTATGACACCAATGAACTTTACCTTTAATTTGAGATATGCGGGATCAACACAATGGGCAGGACTTATACTTAGCAAATGGTCAACAAGCTCCATCTGAACCTTTCCTGAATCATGGTCACCTTTACACGACCATGCCTCTAATCTAGAGATGCAATCCCTTACTTTTTGAGCCCAATTCTGATATTCAACCAGCTTATTGGCCATTTCTCTGACCTAAACCCATTTGGAACAAATACAAATTTGTTTGATGACAAATAACCAACAAGAACAGATGAGAAAAGAAATTTCAAAACAGAAAATTTAAGCTCACATGATCCATTTCATGACCAGCCCAGAGAAACTGTTCAGCCTCTTTTAGTGCATTAGCGTAAGCATCACGCGAATTTGAACTCTGTACAATCTTATCACACTTCAAAAGCCATTTGTCTGCAAGTTGCACATGGGTGAATGAGTTACCTTTGACCTACAAAAAAGGATGAACTTGTAGACATGAGTTGTACACAGAATATATTATATATGCAATAAACTAAGCTAGCATATTTGATATCTTTAAACCTTTATACAAATAATGCATAACTAGAAGTGTTTAATAAGGCATTTGATCAAATAATTTCCTGTTTATAAATCCTATTAGTAGTAAGTAAAACCTTCTTTGAAAGTGCTGCTGAATCTGTGGAAGTGAGGAGCTGGTTTTGGATGCTTGTGGATGCATACTCAGAATTACACTTATTTGCAATGAGCACCAAATCACTCAGTTCTGCAAGAGTGTGACGATAGAGAATACGGTGTTTGTTGGGCTTGCATTCACAAAGGTGTTCCCAATGCTACAAAAGAAAATATGTCAGTAACATTTTCACAAAAATAATTGAAGGCCTGCGAGTTTCGTATGTTGGGTTTAACAAAGACTGGCTATTTCTTGATAGACTCAATAATGAAGATATTTCACTGCCAGGCAAATTAATGCATGTTTAAGAAATTAGTCAAGTAACTTAAGATATTACACACATTCACGAGAGACAGAAGTTTCTTGCAGTTTACAGGCTAAAACCAATCATTCCACCGGGGATGGATGGGCTTTCCCAAGCTCACTCACCTCGAGGCAAACAAAAACTGATAGTCTACAGCTGCATGCTACAGCAGAAAGATACAAATATTGTTGGCATATAATGCATGTAGGATCCTGCAAAGAAGAGTGTGTAACATGTCAATAGTGTGCACTGTGCTTTAGCAAATCTTAAGAGCATGTGAACTAAATAATCCTCCCTCCGTCACTATACTTACTCCTGCTTTGACTTTACGCATACTTTAAGAAAATGGAGACTGTGCGGTTGATATCCAAGGGAGGGAGCAATATCAACCACAAAATACCCTATTTACCTCCATAGAAGGAAAGAGATAATTTTGGGACGAACAAAAAGAAAGATTGAATACAAAATAGGTACAAAAGAAAATGTTTTAAATACCTCTTCGGTACTCACGTACTGAGGCTGCTTACGAGGTGACATTATTGAAGTGTTAACTATGCCATTCATCCAAAGCTGTTCTCTCCATGATTTTTCCTTATTATAGACCCTAAGCAGTTCCATTTTTAAGTATGGTGAGACCTTACTATCCAAATCACTCTGCAATAATACGGAAAAATTTAAGTTTGGTGATGCAGCCGACACCTTAAAAAAGCACTGTGGAAACTGGAATTCAAAAAGGTCCAATCACACCTTGGCCACCACACAGAGAAGCTCTTCATGAGATAATACAGCAGCTTTGCGGTAAAGCTGGTAAAGTTCAGCTCCAAAACCACCATGAGGTAGCCAATCTGCAGGTGCAAAATTGACAGCCTCCGCACAATTTAAACCTGCAAATTCAAATTCTAACTGCCTCTTAAAAAAAATTGAATTAGTGTGTTAGATAAGCAATATATAAAGAAATTCAAGCCATTTAAGCCTGAAACTTTTGACAGTGACTAAGACCCTAAAACCATTACTTTACAACATTATGCATATATAATCATGTGCCTACCAAAGTTGAAGCCTGCATGGTAGGATCTGGGGAAGGTAATGATGAAGTCTCCAGGCTCCTGTAACAAGAAGATAATGCATTGGGATCAAGCAAGCACACAATCCCTTGATGTGCAATAACACCAGCTTAGTGACATGTGTCAAAGTGGCATTTACATCAAACTGATCTATGACATAGTAGTATAGTACAACAATAACAAACCCAGTAAAATCCCAAAGAGTAGGGTCTGTGGAGGGCGAGTGTACACAGAACTTACCCCTACATTGGAAAGAGAGATGCCGTTTCTAGGAGACTCCGACTCAAAACAAAAGAAACACAACAAGAGAGCTAAAGAAAAATGGCATAATCTATTGTTTAATTTATTCTAAAATGTGATATACAATGATTTCAATGCAACAACATAAAGAAATTATAGATTTCCATTAAGAATCCTAAAAAGTGATACTACCTCTGTCCCAAAAACAAAGGTTTCACATTCCCTTTTTTGTTTGTCCCAAAATAAAGTTCTGGTTTCCTTTTAAAGAAATGATCATAAGGTTTACATCATTTCTCTCTAGGCATAACTCTCAACCACTCCATTTCACCTTTCTTATTAATCATGCCCATTCAAATGTGGAACCTTAATTCAGGACAAAGGAAGTGTAAAGTTACAATGTTTCTCAAAAATGTAAGCTTGGGCTGTGTGACTTACACACCCACCCTCTAGGGCACAGAGAGAGTTGCAAGATAAGAAGATAATGATAATTAACAAAATTTCATAAAGTTCACCAACAACTAGCCTACCTGCAAGACACTGTAAACAGGGACTCCATTTTCTTGCAAGACACGTGGGTTCAACATGGTTACAAGCTGAAACAACAAATCAGGCTGTGTTTCAAATAAATCAGGGAGACTTTTTCGCATAACCTGCATGGACATGAATTTCACATTAAGAGATTACAATGACATGCATAATCCTTTTTGGTAGATCTGAGAAATACGTGAGGTGAAAGTGTGAAACAGTGAAACTACAAAAATACCTTTTCGAATGCAAGGACTTCACTACCAGGAACACTATACCAACATTTTGGATCTCCCCTGAAAATGAAATACTAACCATGACTACAATGTTTAACTCATTAAAACATAATTCCAAACAGATATCTGCATATAACTAGATATGTCAGATCAAAATAAATGGCTGTGTATCTATATTCATGTGCTCATAATACATGCCTGAAAGTGCATGAATGATACGAAAAAGCAATTCCAGTTTTCAAGCAAACCTATCCAAACCTATTATTTATTTGTAACACCTAACACCAAAAGGAATAGTTTCACTTTGCAACGAAAGCAAGAAGTCAAAAACCAAAGATAAAAGGTGATGGGAAGAACAGGGGGGGTCTTTCAATCATTGTTTTAAGCAAGCTGCTATTCAAATTCTCATATATCTTCACCATAAGGTATGCTTATAATACATATGAACTCACTGCCAATTTACCATCTTCCAGCAAAACTAGAACGTGAAACAAATGATTTGACTGACAGTGACATAGTCTGACATCAGAGACATAGTCACATGTTTGAGAACTCAGGGATTAAGTAATGAACCATGGGTGATCATCGTCAACAACATCAAACTTTATCAAAGAGATAGGATGCACTATAAATGCCAGGTGAATTATTGCATGAGATGAAACCATATTGAATCACCACAACAAACATTTGTTGCATCTAAATATTGTCTAACCATTTACAGAACACAGAAATAAATTTCATAAATTTTGAAAAAAAATGAAATTAGCCATACAGTAAGTTAGACAAAGCTTGAGAAGGATACCAGTGATGATAGTTCATAGAGTAAAAACAATGATCTTCAAAATGCCAGCAAAATGAAGAGAATAACATCCCAATGTAAAGCCATGGTACCATAACACCGGCAATGTTTTGATGAACAGCTTGTAGCATTGAACCTCTCAACTTCGGTAAGTTATTAAGATTCCATGGGCTAACACAATACTCATCCCATATTTCAGATCCTACTGTTGTAACCCTTTGGTCAGTTCCACGTGGAAATCCACTCCCATAAACAGAAGTATCCAAGTCATTGCCATAGAGAACTTCAACTTCACCCGCTGATCCCTCTACTATTTCCCAAAACTTCTTCTCCAGTTGAACTCGTGATATAGGTGTTGATCCAAACCATCTTCTCTTAGACCGATCATCCACACGCCTAAAAGCTTCCAAAGAATAATCCTTTCCCGGAACAAAACCAAAGCTGTCTTTTTCAGAATTCAAGCACTCCAAGCAGTACCAGTTCCCAGGTGGAACTTGTTTTAGAGGTGGTGATAAACAATAAATATGCCATCCCTTGTTGCATCTATCACATAGAAGCATCACCTCCCCATGCATACCACTTTTGCATTGTTCGCATATTTGATCAAGCTCTTCCTCTGTTTTGTTCACTTCATCATGTCTCTCACCCTTTGTATTCTTCCTCCTCTTCAAACTAGGAATTTCAAACTGTGGTATACTTTTTCTATCATGCTGAGCTCTTCGCTTATAACCCTTATTGTTAACCTTATTCAATTTAGAGCAATACTGTTCATAATCATACAGATGTTCAAAGTACAACTGACTCAACACATGCTTCGCACACTCTGTGATCTTCCCGCTTGACCTCACAAACCTAAAAACTTCCCCCCACTTCTTGTCCTTTGCAACCTTATCATAACCTCCATAGCGTTTCACCGCATTAAACAATTTACAGAAATCCAACTCTGACCCCTCAAAGAGAACCCTCTTCTTCACCCTCCTACCGCAATGCTCTTCTAAGAATCGCTCATACTCCAACTCAAAAGTTTTAGGGTCACACGAAGCACACCGGGCCTGCAACTGATGGATTGCCTGAGTTTTTGTGGGAAACGTGAACGAATTCAAATCCAATGCAAATGGGGGTTTCCAGTTCTTGGGAGGTACAACCTTACAGATCCCGTACTTTTCGGCCTCTCCCTTGATCTTATATATAAACTCCAAAGGGTCCCTAAATTCTTCTTCCGTCGGGAAATACACAGGCGCAGGGGGTATAATGAACTGCCCACTTCTTGATGAACTTGTGCTTTGCCCTAATGCCCCTTTCTCTACTGCCCTTGGCTTCCCTCTCCCCATCAATGACAACTACTCCCTATATCTCACCAATGCAAAGAAACAAAACAGACTCTCCACATGCACAAACCCTTCCAAAAACATCAATCTTTCTTCCTAAAGATTCAACCTTTGATTTTTCAATAACCTCTGGAATTCCAAAACCATAACTTTAACCAATTCAAGAATTATAAAAACAAAAAAAGAGGATAAAATACATAAACAATAAATGCATAGCCATTAACGCACCTTCTGCGGAAGAATCCTTGCAATAATTTTCTCTCTATGAACATATCCAGAGTTATTTAATCCGTGTTTGGCATAGTTTTCTAGAGTGTAAAATTGAAAATGGGAGAGTTTCTTGGTGGGGAAATCATTCCAGGTTGGGTTTTAGGTTTTCGCGCAGTCTTTAGATATGGGCATCAGTTTGTAAAGATTTACAAAATTGCCAATGAATCCCTATATGAACTATGAAGTATGAACTACTCCCTCCACACCTTGATCCATTTTATTTCAATTTTTTTTTTGAGAAAATCAGTTTCATTTATTTGATTATAAGTGTAGATAAAAAACCCACCCCACTTTTTCCGTGGAATTTCAACCATCAAAAACTTATTTTATTTATTTTTATTTTTTGTAAAAAAAAGTCCATCATCTTATTAAATATTTCATTCGTCTCGATGTATTTGTACAATTTGACTTTATCGATTCAAATGAGATGAATTTTAAACTCTAATCAAACAAAAAAAATGTAATGTATAATAATATAAAAATGATTTTATAAGATTTATATTGTTTTGATTTTTTAAAAATTTTATTTTAATCCACTAATATGCAATACAGATTAAGAATAATGGAAATTCATAGTTTTCTTATTTGACTCAAAAAAAGTCAAACTTGACAAAAATAGTAGGACGAAGGTAATACCTAAGACTATTTAGTTATCACTTTTTTTCATCTTTAGATCTACAAAAAAATTGTATGGACTTTATGATGGTTGTAACAATAAACCTACAAAAGCACATTAACAATGTCACATCGATACTACATCAAAAGTTTAAACTCACTAACTTTTTTAACTTATTTCTATAGTGATAAACCTACAATATTACGACCATGTTCTCTTAAACTGATTTGAATGATTTTGATCTGGTTTGAATAAGTTCTGATCTAATTGATCTGGTGTGATCAGATTTGAATGTAGTTATATATAAAATTATTTCTGATCTAATCTAACTGAACTGATTCCAATAAGAATGTAGTTATATATAATGTTATTTCTGATATGAATAAGTTGAAGAGAACACGACATAACTTTAACAAGATGTCTATATTTAATTTAAAAAAACAAAATAAAATATTATATTTAATTAAATTAATCAAAATATATTTTTTCTTTAATTAAACTAAACAAAATATTATATGGACATGAAATCACAAAAGGAAAGATAAAGAAAGAGAAATATGATGGGTGAAGATCACCCTACACCAGAAACCTAATTTTGAAATTGAATAGTCATTTTACAAAAAGAAAAATCATGTCACACCATTGTAAACTATTCGTAATGAGGCTTGACCTTGGGCGTGAATGGAGACATCACGCCACGTCACGCGTGGCGAGTGAGGCTTGATGATGGTCGCAGGCGTTGTCCCTCTCCTTTTTTATTTTTTATTTTTTAAGATCAAATTAATCAAAATTTAACACACTTTCATATCAACCAATTTAAAATAGTTTGTATATTCACACTTCATCACCTCCCTTCATACCCATCATAATACACATATTTTTATCACCCTACATCATATTCGTTTACACTCTATCAAGCTCTATCAGCCTTCGTCAAACCCCCAACTACACATAGCATCATAGCCTAATGGTAATGTTGGCTTCAAGTTGGGTTTAGACCTTAAAAAATCATTAAATGCCATTAGTTCCATCATACTCCCTTCATCCACAAATAAACTTTTCGTTACGCGTTACAATGTTTGGCTGAAGTTATTTTTAAATCATTTTATATGAAAAATGGTGTGAAATTTTAAAATAAAAATTACATATTATAAAACTATATCAAAAGTCCACAAAACTAGAGGTAACATAACTATATTATTTTATCAAATGAGTAAAAAAAATAGGCCAACAAAGTGAATAAAGTTTGACCATATGAATAGTGAGCGGAAAGTTTATTTGTGTGCGGAGGGAGTGGCATTTATCTAAATATATCAACTCGACTTTGGTTCCGGTAGATTTTGACAGTATTGTGACTATGAAGATCATTAGTGCACTCACTGCACAATACAATTGATATAGTATTCGCATGGATTATTACAGTACTCTCTCAGTCTAGCAATAAAGTTCTCGTTCACTATTTAAAGGGTCAAATTGTATTCACTTTGTTGGCATATTTTTGTGTCCTATTTGATAAAATAATATATATAGTAATGTCACATCTAATTTTATATGCATTTTTCATATAAAATAATTTGAATATAATCTCAATCAAATAACGTAACGCGCAACGGAAATTTTATTTCTGGACAAAGAGAGTATATCATTATCACCATTAAATATCCTGTGTATACATATGTTAATACGCTCAGGTGATACTGACTTCCTTTGTCATTTGAAGACACTTACTTCAATTGAAGCATATATGGTTATTTCTTTGTAAAATTAATGGTTCTTATCTTTCTAGCTTTTTGTTTAGGAAGGGGGTTAGGAGAGTAAAAGTCATCAATTTTTGAACAAGCACCGTAGATATCCCAGAAAAGTTATCTACATCGAGATTGTATAATACCATAAGACAATGTCCTTGGAATAGATCTCATGTTGTATATTTGATAACTAGTATCCATAACTTGGTTACCACCTCCTGGTCTCTGCCATTCCAGTCTCAACGTAGTACTCAAATTTTAGTTATGAGTGATATTCACATCATGAATCTAATAAATATCATCTCTCATTTTGTCCAATACAATGTATATAAGGTAAATTCTTTTGTGATTCTTATATTCAAACTCATTTTATAAACTTTCACATCTAAAATAATGTTATGTAATAAGCATTGTATAATTAAGAAAACCCAACTATGACTTCATAAAACATATGTAAGAAGACCTAAATTTTACACGTGGATCTTAAAATCACAACAACACAACTCAATAATTAAACACATACTCTGAGGTACATGATGTCTTATAAATGTTATGATAAAATAGAAATGATTGATCAACATTCATTTGGATGTTGATATTCACTCTCATTTCAGATACAACCTATTATTTAAGAATAAAATTATAAATATTCATCAAAATCTAATATGAAAGAATAGAATTTAGCAAAAAAAGTATGGTAAAAACATCAAATTTAGTTGGTTTCTCAGTCATACACTTATACATCAATGCCTTCCTCCGTACTAAAAAATTATCATCATTCACTATTAAAAAATTACGAGAACTGTAGTTCATTTGAACGCTTTCGTCGATTAATTGATAGAATAAAACATTCATGCAACATCTTGTTTTGAATAACCTTTAACGCAATTCTTAAATGAAGAAGTCTTCTTCGATAAGAGTAAACAAAATTAAAATAACAAAATAGGAATCATACGTCATTTAATACCAAAATAAGAATATAATGACACTGTGATGTAAGAGTATGTTTGACAATGTGATGGAAAATAAGGACATTGAATGTTGTTTTAGTGGTCGAGTGACAGATTCAGTGATGGAAGTTTGGATTGATTCTCACATCGTGTTCAACGTAGACACATTTCAGTGTCTTAGATCAGTCATTCAAGCAGATTGGGAGTTAGGAAGGGATGTTGCACTTCGTGTTGGAGTGGTTTGGGCGAAATTGAGGTTGGCTTCGGGAGTTCTGTGCGATATGAAGAATTCAACTACAATGAAAGGTAAGTTTTATCGGTCTACAATCAAACCAGATCTGTTGTATGGTATGCAATGCTGGGCACTTAAGAAGGCCCATGTTCGCCGGTTGCATGTTACTGAGATGCAGATGTTGCGATGGATGTGTGGAAAAATGATGTTAGGTATAACCAATGATAGATGAGAGCGACACCAACTGAGAACAAGTCGTGGGAAGTTATTTTGAGGTGGTTTGGGCACATGACTATGTGAGATGGCATGGTGTTGATACTCCAATATGAAAGTGTGAGAGGCTCACGGTGGTAAGCGAAGGTATGAGGAGACTTAAGAAGAATTGGAATGAGGTAATTAGACAGGATCTAAGATTTCTGACTATTATTGAGAACATGACATTAGATAGAAAATTTTTAAAAAATTAGAGTTAAAGTAGTTGGATAGATACTTGGATTAGATGATAGTTTTCTCAATTTGCATTGTGCTTTCAACTTGCTATAATTTTTTGTCATTAATATTAGTTGTTCAGCTTTTGTATGGTATGTTTCTTTATATGTTTTCTATGAATTTTTGTTATCCATGTAACCATGTTACTTGAGTTAGTGATATTTTGAAATCAACTAGTTACTCTTGGTAAGGGTAAAATCTATCTACACACTTTGGATTCAATGAGAGGATTATGCTATATGTACCCCAAGGTTTGTACCCCAATTTGTACCCCGCAGTTTTGCACCAACACTTTGTGTTGGTGTAAAACTAATTTTTGTTAAACGCACCAACATTTGTGTCCGTGTGAATATTTATTAACGCACCAACACTTGTGTCGATGTAAACTATCGAAATGTTTGTGCAAGCCTGTGGTGTACAAATGAAGTATATTTTTTGGTGTAAGTATAGCATGGTCCTTCAATTAGATTATTGTTGTGGTTGCAAAATCATTGTTGGGATTTGGGAGTCTGTCCAAAAGTTTTCCGCACAGGCTTTTTCTGGAAGGGCAGAAATGGGAAACAGGCGGTTCGCGCAGATTGACACCAGTGACGACGACGACGACGACAACCTGTTGATCTCTCAGGTGTGCCGCCGTTCGAACAATGGCGTGGAGAAACGGAAGTGCAAGAGGTTGAAGCTCTGCGAAGTGGGAGACGAAGAAGAAGAAGAGGAAGAAGACATGCGAAACCAGAACAACAAGAGGAAGGCGGTGGAGCATTTGGAGGATGACTTAGGGAAGGAGAAGAAGAACAGGACTTCGGAGACGAAGAAATCGGCGGATGAGTCGGAGCCGGAGGAGGACGTCGAGGAGGAAGTGCAGGAAGAGGCGAAGCCCATTGGCGATGTCATTAGGGTTAGTGGAAAAGGTCGAGGCCGCCGGAACCACTTCAAATCGTTTGAATACGATGGACTCACCTATGAACTGGTGAGATTTTTTTATCAATGCTGTTTCTGATTAAATTGGCAAATGTCATTAGGGTTAGGACTCACCTATGAACTGATTTTGATTTGTTTTTGTAAAATGTGCTCTCAGTACATTGTCGAAATAATTTATGCCCTGCAAAAAATGTATGATCAAATGGCCTTTCTTATTTTATGTTCCTAACTTATTTTTCTAGTTACCAGATTGAATGGCTTTTTTTTCTCTTCATGCTGTTATAGTTTTGTTCTTATTATCACTAACATTAATGTTATTTGTATTTATATTATTATGACTTTGCATTATTGACTTCTACTGTGGCGCAGGAGGATCCAGTGCTGCTAGTTCCGGAGGAGCAAAATCAGAAACCGTATGTTGCTATTATCAAGGTAACTGAGTTTTTATATGAAAGACTGGATTTTCTTGTTGTACTTACTCTTTCTATGTTTTCTTGCTGGGTTATGTTTGCTACATTGAGAATGGACTTTCTTTATCCATTTTCTTTTGCTTTATTCACTGACTTGAAAGGAAGCTATATTTGAGATTTGAGCTTTCCAGTTGTTTACTGTGTTCATTTCTAGTCTAGTTCCATAAATATGAGTCACTTTCATGCTTGCAGGATATATCTCAGACCTGGAAAGGAAACATGATGGTTGACGGGCAGTGGTTTTATCGGCCAGAGGAAGCAGAGAAAAAGACTGGTGGGAACTGGCAATCCCGTGATACCAGGGAGCTTTTCTATAGCTTTCACCGTGACGAGGTGCCCGCTGAGTCTGTAATGCACAAGTGTGTGGTGCACTTTATTCCTTTGAACAAACAGATCCCAAAGCGCAAACAACATCCTGGATTCATTGTTCAAAAAGTGTATGACACTGAACAGAGGAGGCTTTTCAAATTAACGGACAAGGATTATGAAGATAGCAAGCAGCATGAGATTGACCTCCTCGTGCAGAAAACTATGTCACGTGTTGGTGATCTTCCGGATATTGAACACGAGGACCACCCTTCTGTCATAGCCAATGAAGATCAGTTGTTGAAGAGTAAACGACTGTTGAGGAAAAAAAGTATTCATATGATAGATGTTTCTAGAGAGGATGAAGCATCCGGCAGAAACAAAGCAGAAACACCTGGTAGCTCTGCCAGCAATGCATCAGAGTACTCTGCAATCCTAAAAAGCTTCAATGTGATGATGGATGCTGATCACCGTAACAGGTGGTTGGAAAAGTTGCTTCAAGCAATTCAGTTTATGTGCCGCCCTTCGGATGGTAATGAGAGGGGAACTTCTGATGGACGTGATCCTACAGTTCCTGCTAAAACCAGTTCATCAAAAGTGAATGAGGATAACTATTCAAATGTAAGAACACAAGACATTACACTTATGATTGTTACTGTTTTATTGGAGTACTGTTATATTATAATTTTTTTAAATGCTATATGATATTAATATATATGTGTCCTTCTATAGGGTGAAAAGAATTTTCTTTGGCCAGACAGTGCTGTTCCTGTCGTAGTTTCTCTTGAGCGAGCTGTACATGATGCGCTTGCCTCAGATTTTCAGAAGTATAACCAGAAGATGAGGCAGTTAGTTTTTAACCTCAAGGTTAAGAGATTAGTTTTCTTTTTCGAGCAATACACCATTTATTTTTCATAACGGACTCGGGTGAATAGATTTACATATTTAATTGCAAATTTTCTCCTTTGTGATAATGTCCAGATATTCGCATAAGAGCGGTGAGGGGAGTGACTTACCAGAGCATTTGTTGCTAATGTTTTTTTTTTTGCAGAATTTTTAAAAATAATCACAAAAAATTGCTCTTTTTGCTTGTCAATTTCTTTAATATCTTCCTTTTTTTGTGAACAGAATAATGCTCATTTGGCCCGGCGTCTCTTGAATGGGGAGTTGGACGCCTCACAAGTTTCGAGCATGACACCAACTGAGTTAAAGGCATGGTTACTGTTGACATTTATAATTTATTATGAAATTGTTCTTTTTTAAAAAAGAACTATTTTCATATGCATCGTTTCATTTTTATTACTCTTTTCTTTGTCTTTATTTTATAAGAAAAAAGCTTCCTGGTATTTTACGGAGTAATTGTTTAATTGGGAACGCAAAATTATAATTTATAATGTCTATATGCTCTACAGACATGACAATACACAAACTTGAAAATCGACTGATATTTAAATGATGAGCAGCCAAGAGCATTGCATTCTTGTTGATGATGATATTATTAGCGTAATTTGATGTGGGGGGGGGGGCTTGTGGACTTCATTTTGTGACAGTATATTCTTCAATCGAGTTAAAAATTAACATGTAGCTTTTGCTGCATCAGCAATCATTATTACTTAGGCTGTTTGCTTCTGTGGAATCATTTAATTATTCTTACAATATCCTATATTCTCAAATGCATAAATTTCTTCAATAATTTGGGATATTGGGTGTTGGCTGTCATTATAGTTTGTCGTTCTTAACTGAATTTCAGGAAGGATTGACTTCAGATGAGCTAGCAAGCAGGCAGCCTGAGGAGCAAGAGCCCGTGCAGGTTTGTTCTCTGAAAGAAACATTCTAAAAAGAATTTGTTTGCCTTTAGAGAGTTGAGTTTTGCTGTTTGGTTATATTGTCAGCTTATGCACCCTTTGGTGGGATTTGCAGAAGTTCATATCATACCTATCTATCTTCATTTCTAGCAATGTATCTGGATTTCATATATCTTTTGGAGAATATAATGTCAATCCAATGCAATAATAATACTGTTATTACATTCAAAAGAGTTCAGAAAGATTATTTTCTAGATAGCGCATAGCTCACATGCTTTTAATTAGATTTCCCCATCATACATGTATGTAGATCATTTTGACCCTACACATGAAGTATTGGTATTAGCAGGTGGAAACAATGTTGCTAGGGCGAATCTAATTCAGTATTTTAATAATTTTTTCATCTTCTGGTGCAACAGATGACTAATGCTCGTTGCAAACGGTGTGGTGAAAAACAAGTTCGACTGATAGATATCATACAGGCTGGACATGGTGATCGTTATCAGGTACTATGTACTATTCAATTAGTTGTGGTGAAAAACAAGTTCTACCCTCAGTTTTCTTTTCCAGCTCAATTAGTTTCTTGACGATGAGTCATCTGATATGTTAAGACCCAATGTAAAATTCAATGTTCTCCTGAACTATATAATTTGGACCCAACAGAAAAAAAAGTCACTGAACCGGGCAATAATTCTCTTTCTTGTATACTCACCTTCTTCTTTGTTCTACATTGGTTGCTCATACTGCACTTACATATTTATATTATCCAGCTGGAGTGTGGAGCTTGTGGGAACACCTGGTATGCTTCAAGAGATCAAGCTGCAACACTAACAATAGGAGTGCCATCAACTGACACCAAGCCAGTGGCGGAGTCCGATGACTCCGAGAAGCAACAGCTGGTTAGCCCCGGCACACAAGAGCAGCAGCCGGATCAAGACAGAGAAGCTCTTCTCAAGACATCATCAACCGGTCCGGTCCCAGATACCAAACACAAGCCCAAATCTGCAGAGGGTGTTCCTGATCTATGAATTGAAGAACATGACGGACTGATAAGCCGCCCCCCAGGTGTTGTTTATACTTTTCTGTACATTATTAGCCTTTCTAATATAGAAGTATAGAGATATATATGTATATGATATTTGGCTACAGTCTGCCACTCTGCCATCTTCTTGGAAGCATGAGTGACAAACGTCTCCGGCATCCCATTATGATTTTTTTTCTTCCAACATTTTAACTTCAATCAGTTAGTCCGTACTACGTTTGATAGATCATCAGCAATACAAATGTTACGCCAATGATTTTACTGCGTGTTTTGTGTTGTTGCTTTACTTTGGGGTGTTCGGACTGATAAGCCGGCTCCCAGCGCCCCAATTGCCTTCTTCCTCTCCTTCTCCCGTTTCTCTCTTCCTTCGGCAAGATCCCCACCCACACCCCTCTCTCCCCATATCTCTTCTGTGGCTCTCATTGGTGAGGTTGCCGTCGGGATGGCCGGCGACCACACCCAATGGGCCATTAATGGATTGGGAAATAGTTTATCTTTATCTTAAGTACTTATTAGTAAAAGTTCATGTGCATTTTGAATATACATCGTAATAATTTTCCTATCTATATTATGTATACAACACCGGCAACAATAACAAAGCCTTTCCGATAATACCCTATATATATGTATGCGAGAACAAAAATTCATGTTTATCTGTATGTATAACTTTCATTTTGCAAATAGCCCAACCTTATTAGAACATAGTAGAAGTGTTTTCATTATCAAAGAAGATTAACACTGTAAAATAAAACATTGGAAAAATATCACTATAGTAAGTATTCAATTTATTATTTATATGGAAAGAAAAATACTACCTCTGTCCCATAGTATTTGTTCACTTTTATTTTTTATACACCATCCAATACACTTCTTTAATCCATTTTATCTTGTAATTTGTATATTAAAAAATTATAGAAATTATATATTAATAATCTATATGTTAAGACAAATCAAACAAGATCACACATGACTATATTTAGGCTTATACATTGAGAGAATTTGATGAGTCAAAATTCTTAGATGAACAGTTCCAAAAGTTAAAAGTGGACGTATACTCCGGGACGGAGGGAGTATATGATATATAATGTACTCCTTCCGCCTCTGAAAAACTTTTTTCCTTTCTTTTTCATCCGTCCCAAAATTTTTTATTTATTTCTATTAAAAAATCACTTTTACTTCTATTTATTCTTAACCAACCTATCACATCACGTCTATTGACTATTAATCTGTCCATCAAATTTCATTTTTATCCATCACATTCAATGACATTTTTAAAAACTCAACATCAAAATATACTCCCCTTAATCCCTTAAAAATCAAAATCGCCCATGTTTTAAGGGATAGAGGGAGTATAAGCTAAGGGTACATGGTTACAATTGCACAACTTTTCATTTATTTTGACTTTTTGGTCAAACATATGACCAACATGATAAGCATTGCAATTAGAGAGTGTGCGGGGTGCGTTAGGGCTAGGCCGAGATGTGGGGGTTTGCCGGGGGTTAAGGGGGCAAAAAAATCAATTTTACGAATAGAGCACTGAATGTGTCCTGATTGCATTGTTGTAACAAAATTGTTGTACGAATAAGTCCAAATATATACTCTCTGTGTCTATATATATATATATATATATATATATATATATATATAATGTTATGTATATTATATATATGCATGTACATACCATAATGCTTGATTTTCAAGCCTCCCATCGATCCATAACACTTTTTTCATACTAAGTATTACGAAAAAAAAGATAAAATATTGAACAATGATACAGGGAAAATAATTCTACCTCAATGTAAAAATAAAATTAAAAAAAGAAGTAAAACTGTGTGTGTATATCAGTATATTAGCATGGGTGTACATATACATATGTTGGTATCAAAATAATGTTTCAGATACTACATTCTAATAGAATATTCTAATAGAATCAATGTATGTCAATGACCAGCCCCTTTTGGACTGGGTCCCGACGGCAACATCTCCATCCAGTTCGACAAGCTGATCCCCACCCGGTCAAACACTGACGGTGGGAGATTCGCCGCCTCCGCCTGCAGGTGGCCAGGGGCGGCAAAGTCCTCGTTAAACAACCGCGCTCTTCCGGCTGCATCCACGTGAACACTGCTCGTTAGCGCCACGAAAACTATAATGAAAGCGGCGGCGACCACCTCCACCGGCAAACCGCTCCTCCTCCGGCAGTCCATTTCAAAACGATGGAGTGTATATATTATTATGTACTAGGTGGAGTTGCTTGAATAAAATGTGTATATATGGGAATGCATGGGATGTATAGATATGGGTGTGTGTGTATATATATAGAGAGAGAGGGGGGGATATATATGGAAGGAGGGGCGGTGGGTGGGTAGATGGATTTGGTGGAGTGTTTGGTTGTTTGAATTAATGACAAGAGCCTCAATATGAAATTCCACAATATGATTTTGAAGGAAAAAAGTCAACATTGACCCACTCACATTTCATGTGAATTTTACGCTTGTTAAATGTTGCAGTGTGACGGTGCGAGGATGACAATTTAAGAGTGCTAGTAATATATGAAAATGTGATCGAGCAATGGTGTTCAAATATAGTGCAGAACTTTGATTGTTAATAACTCTGAAAATATGTTTAACCCGCTGGTAACGGGTTGGATATATTACTATCATATGTAATGTATTTGTAAAATCAGTTCAAAATTTATACTCTGGAGTAGTTTTTATTTCAATCGAGGAGGAAAGTCAAATGCGAAAAGTTTAAATTATGATATATTATGGGTATAGAGACTACTATAATGGTTGAAATTTGAATGTGAATTTGAATTGCAGGGTGCGTGCAGTGGGTGGTACTCATTCAATTCATACTCCGTATTTTACTTAGTTTAGCTTTTAGCTTGCGTGTGTGTTGACCAATATATGCATACTCGGTAATAGGTATATATATATAACCGGTTCTATATAGTTGACATTTGAAGAGGTCTTTATTTGATTCTTTATTTTCTCGCATGCATTCCTTTTAGGACCATACCAGGGTCTTCCCAAATGGGTGCTACCATGGGTGCACCCATGCTTCGCACAGACATACAGAATTGTCTGTGCGACACAGACAATTATCGTCTGTTTTTGTCTGTGCGAAGCATGAGTGCACCCATGGTAGCACCCATGTGGTGGCACCCTAGCATTTTCCTTCCTTTTATGCCGAGGAATTAAACTATTGCAACCCCCAAAATTGTACTTGATTTCTATCCTAAAGACATATTTTGTGATGGTTTACAATGACACAAAATGTCAGTACTGTTTTTTCTATTGAATTAACATTTTGTGTAAGTGTTAGCCACTAAAATGTAAGTGCATGGTGTATAGGGAGTAGTACCGAGTACTCATTAGTCATTACTAGCTACCTCGGTCTTCTTGTTAGTAATTGTCTAGCTTTGATTTTTTACTGTTAATTATTTTTATATTTGACGTATAGTTAATAAAAAAGAATAAAGTATATTGACTAGATCAAACAACATTTTGAAAATACTACAGCATATAGAACAAATCTAATGCTATTATTTTTGTATCAACATCTAATATTAATTTTATTCAATTACTTGTCAAAGTTTGTCAATTTTAATTGCAAAGAAAAAGTAAAAATACTCTGGAACGAAATCAGTATTTGCTTTGCCCCGTTTCCGGTATCAAGTCAAATGAAAAATCTATAGGGCATGTTTGGCAAACAAGTGAGCAATATTGAAAAAACAACCATGCTAGGGGTACATCGAATTGTATCCCTAGAGAGATACACCAATATCTAGCCTTAAAAATCTTAGACAGAAGAGTTTTATTTTTAAAACTTTATTTCATTCTATAATAAAAATTTAAATCAGTTTAACTGTTAATAATCAAACTGAATATAAGTATTCGTTTGCGGGTTCCGCAGCCTTCTCCGAATCTTATCAGTCTCCGGCCGCCGCACATTCGCAAGGAAATTGCAGCGCATTATCCGGCGGCTGGTTTCAGGCACAGGCACAAGAAAGTGTCCGGAAGCTTCAATACGATTTTTTTTAGGTATAGACCTCAAAACCCTAGAGTTCTAATTCCTAAATTGATAATTTAGCGTTTTATTTGTTTATCATGACTAACACCTGTGCATTTGCTAATTCTATGTCAAGACGAAATTGAACTTTTAATTTTTCTGCTTTTATAACAACCTCATTATCACCTCAACCAGCAAGTTCCTTATATAGATTTTGACTAAGATGAAAATCAGGTTTTCAACTTTTTTATACTCCAATAAATTAGAATTAGGGAGTATAAACTATAAAGATTACTTTTGTTTCATAAATTCAGTAGGCACTAATTAAAATATTGATTCTTTTAGTCTTTACATATTGATGAATAAATATAGCGTGCACTTGAAATTTTCATAAGAGGGTTGCTAGTTTTATAAATCATAAACTCATAATTGTGATGAATTCAGAATTGTGATATTTTACTTTTCATATTACTGTCCATTGCCATTGTAGAGTCATTTTGACAATGTTTTAGCTTCGGGTGAATAAATGACTACCTTAAAATGTCATTCTTACTTTCTATGATGTTTTGCTCTGTCAATGCATCAAGGTTCTAACAGGAAAGCCTATAGGTTGAATGCATCTTGAACCCCCAAGAGCCCAACAGAATTGGGAATATACTGGGTTTGCTGTTGTTTGTTGCACTTTTCATGTTGATGTCTATCTATGTATGTAGACAAAAATGATTTTTTTTTCTTTCAAACATATTCTTTTAGTTTTAGCATATCGGCTATATACAATATATAAAAGAGTAAAATAAGGATTATGAACTGAAATCATGACTTGTTGATAATATTTTAAAACTTGATATGGACCCACATACATACAGTTAAAAGAAAAGGAAGGCAATAAATATAAAATCGTTTCTTCAACTTGAAATGCTTTGTAGGTCATTCCAAAAAAACCTTTTGTAAGGTCCCAAGCCATTATTCCTTTGCAAACTGATTTCTTGGGACATAAATAATGAATTTACAAAAGCAAACAGAAATTGTTGCATTGAATGACTCCATCAGCAACTTGGAACTCACCACGTCGAAGAAGGGTATCAGTGCTAGCTTAGTAGAAGGAGACAATGGAATCCAAATCACTTGCTTCTCTGAAGTTTCCCATGATGATGTCAATCTCCATTTCCAAATCATTCGCCTTCCTAAGCAGGTAAGCTCTTTTCTATGTGTGTATGAACTGCATTCAAATGCACATCTATTATGGGTAATGAGTTAGTTTATAGAGTAAGGAATTCAGAGATATCTGTAATGTGATTGTAATCACTTCCTTTTTTCCTGGACTTGGCATTTTGAAGTTTTTTCACTGTCTTTGTAGAAAAACAAAACTATTTCAGCCAATCTGAAAATCAGATGAGGTTGTTTCATTTTTTTCATAGAAGTCACATGCCTTACAAAATAATGTATTGAGTTTTAGTACCTTGTCACCATCTCACCAAGGTTGTGTCGTTGTGAAGATAGCTACGCAGCGCCAGCTGACTGCCTTGTCCCCCATGCAATTTCCTAGGTGACAATTGACAATTAGGTGATTAGTTGTCGTTGTCTAATATTTAAAATATACGGAGTACAACATTCTAAAATATGTATCATCAATTACTAGTTTATCATTTTAATTCAAAGCAAGGGTTTAGTATCTATTTCCAATTCATTAAACTACAAAGGATCAAGTATAATCAACAAATAAATTGAACTAAGTCTCAAATATCATCAACAAAATCCAGTATAATCCCAACTACATTGAGGTTGGGTGGTGGGTGGGGGTCGTGAATATGCACACACCTCTTACCCAGAAAAAAGTGGAGGGTTTTGTGTTAGATGTTTTAAGCATTACAACATTCACTACCTAAAACTTCATAGAAAGGAAGAAACAAAGAAATCCCAACAAGCCATTTTGATTTATCATGTTGTTTACCAGAATTTAAAACAATGCGAGTAATTACTCATTAAGCTCCATTGATGATTGATACGTAATGGGATGATCAACTCATCAACTTAGACAAACAATATGGTTTTACGGTTTGCAAGTGATTATAGCTCGACAACGAGTCTATCAAAAACATCACGCATTCAACCAAAATCTTAAGATGAAAAATACAAGCTGTTTAAAAAATTATACTCTAATTTTTTCTTAAAATACTCAACATTTTAGAAGTTAAAAGTACTTTCAAGACAATTCATTGCTTTTATTGCTTGGTTGTCCATTGCTTTCAAAAGCTTCTTGCATTCAGTAATAAGCTCACACTTGACCACTTATCTTGGCTTGCAAAAAATCTTGAAATGCCATCTTTCCACGCACATCATTAGATATCATTCTTTGCCTAGAAACATATATGGAATTGCTATGTTCGAGGTGGAAATATTTGGTAAGATTTTAAAAATACAGCATCTGCATATAATTTGATCTCTATTTGGACAACCAAACACTCCTAAATATCTGCACTTATTTTGCCCATCATCTACAGTTCTACCTCTGTTCACAAACGATTCGTTGGTTTGCATGCCAGCCTAGAATGTTGACAAAATTGTTGGAGATCAGTGGGGGCAGTGAACAATCCAAATGAGAGTCAATTATATGCTACCTTAGTTTTAAAATTCTTCTAAAAGTTTTGAACTCGAACAGAATGATCCCTCGTGAGCAATGTGAATGGGTAATTGATGTGCTCAAAATGATTCAATGCATTTGATTCCTCATTTTTCTAGGCAATGTGCTCAAATCAGTGTTGATTATTGCAAAATTTTAGAAAGGTTTGGAAAGCATTTGGCAATCATGCAAAAAAGAAAAGGCAAAGCCTCCTTCATAAGTGTACTACTAACTTTTAAAGTACTAACTGCTAAGTCTAAACTTGTTTTTATTTTTTCTAAAAAGATTTTTTTATTGAATTTTAGTTTATTTCTGTGGGATGCTTCATGGTTTTGATGGAGTCAATCTTGAGCACTCCAAACACTTTAAAATGAATTGTT